TGTACCCTAGGCATTGGTAAATAAAAGGAAGAAATGCATGTAACTCAGCCTTGAAAGGTCAAGGATGACCTGCTCCAGGGAAATCTCAGAGCCAGAGAGGGTTGGGGTATAGAGCCCTGGCATCATGACGTCATTGCTAAGCCTCTGGGTACAGTACAGGAATAAATTATTGTTCTTAAAAACAATGACACTCGGAATGTTTTCCCGCTAAATGTTCCATTGTTTCATTTGTTTTTGCAGTATCCTGGTAAATTAGAAAGGTTAACGGTATAGCCACCCTCCTTCTATATGCGAGCAACACAAAGGCTTAAAAGCGAAAATGTGTTGCCCAAACCGGTGGTGAGTAGGGAGAGAGACAAATCCAATTCAAGCTCTCAGGTCTTCTGCCTCCAACCAATGTTCTGTCTACTGTCAAAATCAAAGAGAAAACTGAAGTTGGATCTTTGGGCCATCTATCTATTCCAATTTTCCACCCAATGAAAGACTTCCTTCTATAGGGCGCTGACAATTAAAAAAGTAAAATTAAACCTACAGCCCCTAATTAATGTCTGAGTAATGGAGAGTTCATTACTTTTTATAATATGTTCTTTTCCTAATTAAAGAGATACACATTTTAGGATAAAATTTGGAAACTACATAAAAGCATAAAGAATATAATTTAAATCACTCAATCCCACCACACTGACATATCTTTTATTTCCCCCTTGCTGTTAAAATACAAATACAAATATGTTGAGTTTTAACATTTTAAAGGGCCTTGAGATATTTATCTTCTTTCAAAAGGCTCATGGGTTCCCACAGGTTAGAAACACTCCCCGCCACAATGACCCGTCACCTCACACCCGTTAGGATGGCTGCCATAAAAACAAAAACAGAAAATAACAAGTATTAGAGAGAATGTGAAGAAACTGGTCCCTTGTACACCCTTGGAAGGAATGTATCATGTAAAATGGTGCAGCTGCTATGGAAACAGTATGGCAGTTCCTCAAAAACTTAAACAGAGAATTACCATATTGCTCAGCAACACTTCTGGGTGTGCACCCAAAATGTTCACAGCAGCATTATTCATAGTAGCCCAAAGGTAGAAGCAACTCAAATGTCCATCAACGGGTGACTAGATAAAGAAAGTATGGTCTGTCCACACAGTGGAATACTATTCAGCCTTAAAAAGGAAATGCTGACACATGCTACAACAGGAAGAACCTTGGGACACCGTGCTCAGTGAACAGGTCAGTGAGAAAAACACAAACACGGTGTAACTTCACTCACAGAAGCACCTAGAACAGTCGCCTCCCAGAAACAGGAAGAACAGTCGTTGCCGGGAGCTGAAGGGACGGAGAGTGGGGAGCTGTTCACGGGTACAGACTTCCAGTTTTGAAAAGTGAAAAGTTCTGGAGATTGGATGCATGTGTGAATATATTAAACACCGCTGGATTGTACTCTTACAAGTGATTAAGATAGTACATTTTATGCCCAGTGTATCTTACCACAATTTTTTAACCCAGTTACTGAGAAGAAAGAAACAAAGACTTGGCAGAGCAACACCAAATCAACCTGCGTCTTCTCCTGGGAGATAAAATTGTAAATATATGAAGACAGCCCTTGTGTTCCCGTCTGCCTTTTCAAGCTTCATCAGCTTTTCTCCATAGACAGGCTGTTCAGACCCTTTGGTCTCCCTTGTGCTCTTCTTAACACTCTCGTTGTTGTTTTTATTGTTAATGTTTTTCTTAAAACTGAATTCCCAGACCAGAGACCATGACCCAGATGGTCTAAGGGCATAGAATACTTTGGGACTGTTCTTCCTATAATCCGGCTGACCCGGGACTCCCAGCTCTGTGTCCTGAGAATATCATCAACTGGAACCCAGGCCCCTTTTGTGGAAGATGCTTCCCCCACTTGGTACATGGACCTTGGAACCTAAATGCAGAATTTTTAATATTCCTAGCCTACTTAATTTCATGTTTTGCCTCAGCTGTATTAAATTAAATGAAACTGAGTCACTTCCAAGAATCAAAAAATAAATAAATAAAACACTGGCTTTCATGGTCTAAATGAAAAAAAGACCAAATCTGAAAGACACATGAGTCCCCCTTCCCAGTTTCTTCAACTCTTCACATGATAAATTTTAACATCTGAACTTTTGTTAGATCAAGACTGAGAAAAAGCACAACAGATGTGGCCAATCCGTGCCATTCGGCGGGCCTGCCCGATTGGCAGTGGTGCCTGCAGCCTGTGATTGGCAGCGATCAGGCAGCGCAGGGAAGGAGCAGTGATCGATTCACGATGTCTGTCACAGCAGAGGCGAGGAGACGGCACGTGTGCCTTGGAGAGCCAGCCGGGCGCCACGGGTTTCGCCGTGGCTCAGTTCTGCCAAAGTCCTGTGATTGAAATCCAAAGGCTATTAGCAGGAGTCTTCCGATTGTTCTTAATTGCCCTGACCCCGTAGTAGGAATTAAAGCCAGAAAAGGAAACCTAATGTCTGTAATTCTCTGACTTGAAGGACATCTGCATGTGCCAAGCTGACTGTTCTGCTTCGTCCCGCCCACCCAGTTCTGAGCCAGAATCTAAATCAGAAACGGGAGGCACTATGCTAAAGGCAACCAAAGGATAGAGAAGGCATTATAAAGTTATTTTTAATTATGCATACTATTATATGAAACATATATATGTGAAAATATTATTTTAATTTTATATGAAATGTGTGTATGTGAGTGTGTTGTATGAATGAATCCCTACCAAGATAGAAGGACAGAGACCTTACACTATAGGCCATATAAAGACATAAAATCATAGCACAAATACATAGGAAAAGCAATAATTAATCTCATTATCTCTGTATTCCCAGCTGTCAGCTGTCAAATTCAAAGAAATTCAGTGTGTTTTTATGTTATAAGGCAAACAATGACCCAGAGTCAAATCTGCCTGTTGCCTGTTTCAATATGGCCTGTGGACTAAGAATGTTTTTTTATAGTTTTTAAATGGTTGGGGGGAAAGTAAAAAAGATTCGCCCTGGCTGGTTTGGCTTAGCGGTTAGAGCGTCGGCCTGCGGTCCTGAGAGACCCGGGTTCGGTTCCCCCTAAGGGCACGTACCTCGGTTGCAGTTTGTCCCCGGCCCTGGTCGGTCATGCGGGTGGCAGCCACACGATGTGTTCCTTTCACATCGATGTTTCTCTCTCTCTCTGTTCCTCTCTCTCCCTCCCACTCTATCTGAACAAAAAATGGAAAAATGTCCTAGGGTGAGGATAAAAAAAAAAAAAAGATTCTTTTATGGCATGTGAAAGTATATGGTATCCAAATTTCAGGGTCCAGAAATAAAGTTTTCTTAGAACAAAACAATGCCCATCCATCATTATCTACAGTCACTTCTGCACTGCAAGGCGGACATGAGTCATTTTGACAGACTGTATGGCCCACAGAGCCACAGATATTCACTATCTGCCATTCACAAGAAAAGCATACAGAGAAGTTCTAAGGGACAGTGACCATGACACAACAGCCTCCAGGTGGGGCACCTGATTTAGCAAATAAAAATACAGGAGCCCTGCCCTGGACAGTTTGGCTCAGCGGTTACAGCACTGGCCTGCAGACCGAAGGGTCGCAGGTTCTATTCCCAGTCAAGGGCACATACCTGGGATGCACATTCAATCCCCAGCTCAGGTGAGGGTTGGGGTCATGCGGGAGGCAACCAGTCAAAATTGATGTTTCTTTTTCTCTCTCTCTCTCCTCCCCACCCCCCATCCACTCTGTCTAAAAAAAGTCAAAGGAAAAATATCCTCAGGTGAGGATTAACAAAATAATAAAAATAAAATAAAAAATAAAAATACAGAAGCCCAGGTGAATTTAAATTTCAGATAAACAACAAATACTTTTTTAGTATATGTATGCCCCAAACATCACCTAAGACAAACTTACACTGAAAAAGTATTTGTTTACTGAAATTCAAATTTAACTGGGCTTCCTGCCTCTCCTCTGGCAACCCTACATCCCAGGGCACAGAGCGGGTGAAGGAGGGTGGGGGTGGGTCAGGAGGGGCAAAAGGAGACAATCCAGCACAGCGCCTGTTCCTCTTGTTAATATCCCAGTCGCCCTTTTCCTTTTCTCTTTATAGGTTCTGATCCTTTGAAGCCAGCTTTTATTTCTCTTAGTGCTAACTAATGAAACCTACAGTCATGACCCTGAAAAACAAATGCCCTCCCACCAACTGGTGAAAGAAATCTCCACAAGATCTGCCCCCTACCCCACCTCCACCCCGCCCCAGCTGCAGAAAAGCAACGAGGCGTCTGTGCCACAAAATTGTCTTTGCAAATGATTTTTCTAACAAAGGATTTTCTGAAACAGCCAGACTGTGAAAGTAAGCTTTTACCTTAGTCTATTATTCTACTTGTCTTCTTTCTTAATAATGTATTGCCCTGGTAATGATATTTAAATTGATATCTTTGTTTGCTGGAAGGTATAAATATTTGTAAAAAAAATGTTATGCACAGAAAGAGATTTACTTTAAGGATATGGCTCACACCATTGTGGGGGCTGGGAAGTCTGAAAGCTGCAGGGTTGGTCACACGCTGGAGACCCAGAGGAGAGATGATGTTGCAGTCTTGGGTCCGTAGGCAATCTGGGGGCACAGTTCCTTCTTCCTTTGGAGACCTGTCTCTTCTCCTGTGGCCTTCAACTGATTAGAGGAGGCCCACCCACATTAGGAGGTGATCTGCCTCACGCGAGGTCTACTTATGCTGATCCGTTCTAGGTCTTCCTGAGGTTTCTAGTCAATTCTCCTTCCTACATTTTCTAACTCTATGTATTTGTCAGGTTCAAGTAGGCTATGCTTCAGTAACAAAGACCATTTTTATGGTTTAACCCAACCAATATTTATTTCTTGCTCATGTAAAGATGAATACAGATCAGGCAACTTTGCTGTCCTCCATGGGGTGACTCAAGGATCCAGGAGGTTTATACCTTAGGCCCATTCTGTTTCATCCTGTGGCCTGCAGTCATCACCAGTGCTGAGTGGTGGTGGAAGTCCTCTTCTGGACAGAGGCCCCTACTCCTGCCACATGCAGCGCAGCAGCCTGGCCCAGCCTGTACATTTTCTTTAAACCAGAAAAAGATTAACGGCACTTTCCTTTTCTCCCACAAGCACAAGCTAAAATAAAACCTATGAGTCTAGCTAGATTTTTTTTATTTATTTAAACAAAGAGTTTGAAGGTCTATATTAAGATTAGAATTAATAATAGTATCTACCTCGTTGTGAAAAGTAAATGGGCTAGTGCCTGGGAGGTAGTTAAAAATTACACATAATAAACTCACTTATCAGAGACTGGCTATCAAAATCTGAAACTAAGATGTCTGCACTGTGCACCCTGGCCGGTTTGGCTCAGTGATTCGTGTCGGCCCGCGGACCAAAGAGTCTTGGGTTCGATTCTGACCAAGGGCATGTACCTTGGTTGCAGCTCATCCCTGGCCCTGATCAGGGTCATGTGGGAGGCAACCAATCAATGTCTCTCTCTCACATCAATGTCTCTCTCTCTCTCTCTCTCTCTCTCTCTCTCTCTATATATATATATATATATATATATGAAGATAAATGGAAAAATATCCTCGGATGAGGATTAAAAAAAAAAAGATTTTTGCACTGTGCATTAGAACAGAAACTCAGAAAGTGGGACAAACAAAACTAGGAGGGTCATTACACATGTCTGGGGGAGGGGGGAGCCCAGTGACCAGCCCTGGGAGAGAACAGCCAGGCAAAGGACCCTATTACCCTGGGCCTGTTTAAGAGGCTCCATCAAGGGCCTGAGTAGGGCCCGGCAAGAAGGCAAAAAACGGTGACTGGGAGGCTATGAAAAGGTGACTTACCTGAGGACAAGCAGGCAGAGCTCCTCAGTGTGCCTAAAGCAATGTATCAATTCCAAGTTATGTTATAATCTAAAACTAATTTTTAACGCATCTCTATTTTTGCATCTGCTAGCTCATATTAATGTATCCTCTTTGGGGCATTTTAAGGAATGCTAAACAAATTTATCTAGTGCTACTTCACACTTAATGTTTACTTACAAACAGTAATAATCCGAGCTGGTCTTCCCAAAGCGCCTCCTGTGTGCTGGGGTGTTCAGTGTAGCAGAGCGGGCTTCGGGTGACGGACAGCCTCCACTCAAAGCCCAGCTCCACAATCTGCTAGCTGTGTGATGTTGGGGATTATCTCCCCTCTCTACCCTTCAGGTTCTTCTGTGAAATGGGGGAGATAATAAGAAGCTTGCCATTGAAACTTCTACATAAAATGCTGGCCCATAGTAACAGTAATACGTTAACGTACCTCGTCTCATGTCCTCACTACAAAACAGTGAGGTCAGTACAGCATTAATCCCATTTACAGACAAGAAAACAGGTTCTGGGAGCTGAAGCTACCTGTCCAAGTTCATACAAATTCAAATCTAGGTCTTTCTGACTCAGCCCCACTTATGTTCTTAATCACCGTGTTATGGCAAACTCCCACCATTTATCAAATCTGCAGCATTTTGAAAATGACAGAATTATTTTGGATCTGTGTGCATTTATTCTACTTTTTAACTTTTGAAGAACTTTTTGCCACTTTGTTTAAAGGACCACTCATTCAGAATGGAGCTAGGGCCTGAAAACCCAGGACGAGTCAGCGGTGCCAGGTGAGGAGGAGGGGGCTCTGTCTCAGCCACCAGGGAGCCCAGTGGCAACCGAACTTGAACAAGAGGTCAGGGCAGGAGAAGCAACTTCCTCTGGCCTCCATTATAACAATCAAATATGGGTGTAATTCTCCAGCGGTGTGAAAAGTGCAACCTGGTAACTTGTCCTCTAGGCGACGGCCACAGCCAGGCCGTGACCTGGAGCTTCCGGTGCGGGTGAGGAGTGATGATGCTGGCTGAAATGGCACACACTGAGGCTTCTGTTTGGACATCCTGTCTGAGAGGTTTCAGAAGGGAAGTTCCCACTACCTAGGTGGTTTGAAATTCTCCTTCGTAAGAATTGGCGTTTCAGGAGTGGTTTCTAAATAAGGGCCTGGGAGGTGATCCCTCTCGGCTTTGCTCTGCTCTGATTTACGTTACTGAAGAGCAAGACCCAAAGGGATCCTAGCACAGAATCTAGAAACCAGGTCCCCTGAGAATGAGCCACTGCCCTCACCTTACTAATTAGACCCCAGGAAGACTCTACCGTGGAGACAGCTCCCTCCTATCACGGAGGAGGCAGAGCAACAAATTACTGAAGCAGCTTTCCCGGGCCTCCCCCCAAACCCACCACTCCCACCCCCAGAGGAAGAATCAACCACTTGGAACAGATGAGTGGAGGTTGTAGGTTTGCTTTCGGTCCTAAAGAGGGAAAAACAACTTCACTGTCTCTCCTCCAGACAGCATCCTAATCTGTCTCCACTTAGCCACACAGCTCAGAACAAGAGCTTTTGAAATTAATGGTGCTTTCTGAAGAGCAATTGCTTCTGCTCTAATCATATGCTATTTCTTGCTACCTGCAGGGCTCAGCATTCAGACTGCCTAAGGGAATCAGCAAATGCCTGGAAGGCACTGCTCGCAAGCCTCCAGGTAGCTTAATAAATGATGAGTCATCTAAGCCAGGTAGTCACCTCTCATCCTTTATAACACTTGACTATGCTTAAGAGGCAAATCAGAATGTGGGGCTGGGAAAGGTAGGGCCTCAGATTTTTTTTAAAACTTCCCAGCTGGTTTTTTTTTGTTTTGTTTTTTTTAATTGAAGTGAAATTTACATAACATACAATTGACCATTTTAAAGTGTATACTTCAGCCCTGGCCGGGTAGCTCAGTTGCTTAGAGCATCATCCCAATACACCAAGGTTGTGAGTTCGAGGAAAGATGGGACCCAATATGTACTGAGTACCTACCACAGGCCACATTCTGCACAAAAACTATCTCAGGGTAACGCTCAAAACAGCCCTACAATGTACGTGATACCCTTGCAATTCTACGTAAGTATGTATCATATACATATGGAAACAGACCTGGAGAGGGAGGCAGCTTGCTCCATCTTGAATAGCGAGGAAGTGACACCGTCGGACTCAGACCAGGCGAGGCCAAACCCTCACGCCCTTTCCTCCTAACACAAGGAGAGTGGCCAGTGCCTCCCCACCTCTCAGAAGTAACATTTCCCTTAAACCCGATTTTTAAAAATTCCTGGGAACTTCAGAAAGTACCAGTCCTCCCAGAGTGTAGGGGGAAATCAACCTGATTGTCTGCGAGAGTACCTTTTACTAATTCTGCAACAGCCCTGAAGCCTGCCTACACGGACCACCCCTCAATACACACCCACTTAGCACGAACCCCTCTGCAGGGGGCTCGCTCTTCTTGCTGCTTGGAGTTTGTATGAGGGATTGATGTGGGACAAGCCACAGGGCAGAAACGTACACACGTACCTCCTCCAAGGGACACTTTCCAGGGCCGGGGACTACAGGAACCGAGAGCCTGTTGGGTGGAAAGATGTTGCCTACAGGAGGAGCAAGTTGCAGAGTCCAGGTGACTGAGTGGCAGTGTTCCAGCCTGGGAGAGTGCTGCACAGGATTGGATAATTTTAGCAAGTTCACCAGCAGATGACTTCCCCAGTGAGTCTCCGGGGAAGACTCCTCCCTCCCTCTCCAGGGCAACAGGAGCTGGGATTATTCTTTCATCTCCTGGAAGATACCAGATCCCACATAAAATCCTTTGCCCTGCCAAGCTCTCACCAACGATCATCTTGGTTTCCTGTTACACCACTGGGCAATTCCCTTGGTTCTAGGCATTTGAACCATAGATGGGTGTCTACACTACTCCAGGCTCCGTGAAAAGTATTGAGGAAACTAACATGAGCAAAGAACGTCAAGTGATGGGCCCCGCGTTTTCTGAGTGTTAAGTGGGACAACGGGTATGCAGATGCTGCTCTGTCTGGCACATACAGGTGTCCAGTCAGTTTCGCTTCCTCTTCTTTCTTTTGATGTTCTTCCAAACGCTTTTGTGGGAATTGTCTGGTTGATTTCTCAGAGCCTCCTCGCATCCAATTTGCAATGGGACACAATAAATGCACATAGCCGAGTACAGGAATCTGAATAGGAAGAGGCGGGCTTTGTTAGCCTCATCTGTACTGGAGGGGGTTGCAGCCGGTTCGGCCACAGAGCAGCACCGTGGTGAAGGGCACTGTGGGTTGGAATGCTGACTCTGCCACATCCCAGCCCACATGCTGGGCATTCTTCACTGGGAAAACACATCTCTAGGATACCCATGAGGAAGTGCAGGTGATCAGAGGAGAGTTATTTTATCCAGGGTAACCCAACCATCACTGCTCATCATGAATGCAAAGTAGCACAGCCAAGGGCTCTGAACCAGGTCCCAGTGATCTGAGCACTGGTTCCTGCTCGGTTCCCGAGTCCCTCAGTGAGGGCCCCTCTCTGGACCCAGGTATCCTCATCTACAAAGAGCAGGACGGGGCCTACGGGTGCTGTAAGCTCCTTCCCAACTCGGCACACCCTGGGCCCTGTGATGAGGCCACAGATCTCAGGGCACGCCTGGGCTTGCTCAAGCACCTGTCACTAGGTCAGCAGGAGGCCAGGCTTCCTGGGACGAGGTCCTTCCTCACCTCTCGGGAGCTCATCATTCATTTTCCTAAACAAATGTCAGGTAGAATAGAAGAACTAATTGTCCATGCAGACTCTTTTGTGATTCCCATTCCTTAGGCATCTGCAAACTGCACTGTGGTGATGTGAGCACCCGATCAAGAGGTAGGAGGGAACCTGGGCCACCTGCCCCCGTGGGCCTGTGGTTTCTCCCCCAGCCTTCTCTCCCCCTCTTGCTGGCACAGGCTGCCTCTAGCCTGACTCGACTTTCTCCACTAATTAAATGTCACACTTCCAGCTGCAGTAACCAAGAGAGATGCTCTCCAGGTGATTCAGTGGAGGGAAAAATAAGGTCCCTCCCTTTTCTTACTATCCTCATGAGACACTGACCTTGAAGCTGGCTAAAACCAATGACAAATAACAAGGTTGCTATAAGGAAGTGTTAATGGGGCCCATCTCCCAAGGGCAGCAATTATGGGACAAAAGACAACTTCCTACTTTATTGTCATCACTTAATTCAACAGATGGCATTTGAGCCCCCGTGCCCTGCATGTGCTTTGCAATAGAAGATTCAAAGATGACTAGGGGCGCAAACCTTGGGGGGAAAGTTATGGATTCAGTGACAGGTAGCTTGAGTCATTGGACTGGAATTGCTATCAGAAAAAAACAAAAATAAGCTGATTTGGAGGCTCTTTAAATAATAGTATTACCATTTATTTACTGAGTACTTACTATGACAGAAACTATACATTATCTTTGTTGATTTTTACAATCCTGGAGGTGGTTATTTTCCCCAATTTACAAATGAGAGAATTAAGGCCAGAGACATTAAGTAGCCACCTGCACTCACAGCTAATGAATGACTGATTGGGATTAGAGTCCATGTAAGTCTGACTCGAGAGCCCATGTTTTCATCCACATTACACTTAGACAACTTTTCACAACAGAAGGCACCTCGTATGGAAGAAATGAAAGATTCCTTTTCCAAAAAGCAGTGTAAAATAGTATAGAGTCAACAACCCCTTACCTGCCCTTGTGGTGTGACCCAATAGTTAGTATAACAAAGTGGAAGACCAGAAACTTGAGTTTGAATGCAGGATTGTTGGTTCAAAATAAAACCTTGGAGCTTGCCAGATGCAATCTGAAACTGGCCCCCATGTATGGAGGGCAAGGAGAGGCTGAATAGAGGCAGAGCCCTCGACGTTAGCAAGCGGCAGGTGGGATAAGCCAGAGAACTAACTTACAAAGCTTGTCTTGGGCGACCTCAAAACAAGTAGATCCACACCCACCCGCCTGAATCGTAAACGTTTACAGGGCGGCCTCCATGCAGGTGGTCTCAGCCTCCTAGAAACAGTCCCTGCTGTGTTCCTACATGGGCAGAACTACATTTCAAGGATGGGGGCGGGGGAGAAGCCTCCGATTGCTCCGGTCCAGCTCTCTGGTCAACCAACAGTCACTATCCTCTTGAACTCCAACAAAGTTCTGAGGAAAACTAAAAAGCCTTGGCTTCAGCAACTAGCTGCCTGTTCCACAGAGCCCTCTGGAAACCAGCTGATGTCATACATTACTTTTCTTACTAAATTCATGAAATGTCTATCCTAAGCGAAACAAGCCAAGCAGAGAAAGACAAATATCACATGATCTCACTTATTTGTGGAAAATAATGAACATTACAGTCTGAGGAACAGGGTAGACCCAGAGACGTGGAAGTAGGGTACAGACTGACAACCCTCAGAAGAGGGGGTGGAGAGAGATAAACCACAGAACTTATATGTATGTACGCATAACCCATGGACATGGACAACAAAGCTGGAGACGGGAAGGGATGGGAAGGAGGGTGTCAATGGAGAAAAAAGGAGAAACATCTGTAACAAACATATATTAATTAAAGAATAAAGTGTTTAATAACCAAAGATTCAGCCAGGCTCAACCTTGGATAACGTAGACTGTTTCCCAGTCCTCCTCTGCTCCATCCTCATGCCTGCTGACCTCACACTCTTCATGACTGGAGTAATCAAAGCGTGACTTGGGGATCGGGCTGGGCTGAGATCATGTGTTAGCTACACCACTTAGAAGTGTCAACGAGTGGGACCCTGCTGAAGCCTGGAGGCTCTGCCTCATCCTCCCGCTACAGCCAGAGCCCCACCTCACCACAGCACTGAGGGTCAGTCAACCATGCCAGCCAGACTCTTAAGACATTCAGGTAACCACCTAATCACCATTAATCCTTGCTTTCCACATTTCACTGATTCAGTATTTAGGGTTTTTTCCTTAGTATGTATAAATTTTATCTTTACAAAGAAAAAACTCAATCTTGAGCCTGACCCAGAACAATAAAATTCCTAATCAGAATCTTTATGACCTTAGTCAGAGAGATGAAACCTTTATCCATTTACTTTTTAATGGGCATCAGGGTTTTCTTTTCTTTTCTTTTTTATCCTCACCTGAGGACATTTTTCCATCTTTTGTTCAGGTAGAGTGGGAGGGAGAGAGAGGAACAGAGAGAGAGAGAGAGAGAAACATCGACGTGAAAGGGACACATCGAGTGGCTGCCACCTGCACAACCGACCAGGGCCGGGGACAAACTGCAACCGAGGTACATGCCCTTAGCGGGAACCGAACCGGGGTCTCTCAGGACCGCAGGCCGACGCTCTAACGGCTGAGCCAAACCGGCCAGGGCGGCATCAGGGTTTTCAATGCTTATACTCTGCCTCACCACACATGTTCATAGTTGAACAATGCTTTATTTTTAATTTATCTTTTATCCTCACCTGAGGACTTTCTATTTTTATTCAGATAGAGTGAGAGGGAGAGAAAGGAAGAGAGAGAAACATCGATGTGAAAGGGACACATCGAGTGGCTGCCACCCGCACGACCCAACCAGGGCCGGGAACAAACTGCAACAGAGGTACATGCCCTTAGCGGGAACCGAACCCGGGTCTCTCTGGACCGCAGGCCGACGCTCTAACCGCTGAGCCAAACCGGCCAGGGCGCTTCGCTGTCCTTTATACATTCATTTATATTTAACAGTTCTATTGTTATCCCATTAATAACAATTCTACATCTATAAAATCAGTGTGAGAATATGATCTTTGTTTATTCCTAACATCTCTCTGTAGAAACAGTTTCAATAGAGGGAATAGACTAATAGAGTTCCACATCGGACCTCAGAGTTTCATCATCCATGACTCGTTTGCACCCAGTCTTCGCCAATCGTCCATATCTGGGTCTCTTTCTGTTCATTTCTACATTTGTGTCGATTAAATCATTAATTCATTGATTATAATTTAAAATACGTGGTTCACAAAAACTCTACAAGATCCTTGAATATCCCTAAGGTCACTTTATAAAAAGAAAATTTTTTTAAAGATATTCAGACGATGGTGATGCTGGTTGTGTTAGTGGCGGCTCAGAATCTATCATTTCTGCTCCAACAGTGTAACAGAATTTGTTTCCCTTGAAACCAGGACTTTGCATGGCATGAACTGCTTGAGGATTGTTCAAGACAGTATAATACAAAATCCGAAACCCATGACCGACTACCATGTATAAGCACTGAGAAGTGGGGGAAGAGTAGGGAACCTTTTAGGACTTCCTGGAGGAAGTGACACTCGAGGAGAAGTAAATCAAATAAAGAAGTTTAAAGGCAAGGGTATTCCGACAGGAGTCAAAAGTCCAAAGAGAGGAAACAGTCAGCATTACATACTCTGTGTTACTAAGGCAAGACCTGGATGTGGTTGACAAGGTCAACGTTTCCCTCATGGCCTCCCGTTAGGGAACTTGGGCTTTTGTTGGACAGAGGTAAGTTACTGAAAGGTTTGAAAGCCGAAGTGTCACATGACTGTATTCTGTATTTTAGATAAGTCACTCAAATGTTCAAATGGCACAGAGGACAGAGGTGTGGGGGTAACAGGAGGCAATCAGGAAAAGAAAAGGGTTGTATATCAGTATAGCAGAGACTTGGGAGGACCAGTAATCAGCACCTCTCTTCCACAATTGAGTTCTGAACCAAACGAGAACAAAAGGCAGTGGTAAACAAACAGGGGTCAAAATATCATTTTTATTACTGACAGACGCTAGATGATGTAGCTTGTATCTGTGGGCTGCAGTTAACTTTTTAGTATGGAACTCCCAAATTATTCAGATGTACCCACAAAACCACAGGCATGCTGGACTACCCCAGACTCCATGTCTTCATGCAGACCCCTATAAGTTACAGCAAAAAGCAGGAGCATAATGTATGTTCCCTGAGGGCAACTCAACCCCAAGAGGAAAAAGGAGTTGAGCAAGCATGCCGTTTCCCTCTTCCCACACTGTCCAGGATAAATCACCCTGGTCTCCTGGCAGAGGGAGCAGGGGTTAGAGAAGCCAGGTGCATTATCACACCACTCAGTCCCACTCCGCGAGGACAAACACCCGGAGTGGAAAAGAAGCACTCCCCCCTTTCATTCCCATTCTTTCTCTTCACCCACTGGTCTTAACCGTTAAAACCGTGGCTAACCAGAGCTCTGTCTATCATGAAGCCACCACCCTCAAGTACCACCCAATCTGAGGGGAGCAGGAAAGAGAGGAAGCTACTGGCATCTAGTGGGCAGAAGCCAAACCTGCAGTGCACAGGACAGCCCACAGGACAGCCCACTCGACTGAGTATCCAGACAAGTGTCAACAGCGCCAAGGGTAAGAAATCCTTATTCAGAATAGTACCTACTTTAACGAATTTCAATATAAAAGCATAAGCAGATGGGAGAATCATACCCTCATCTTTATTACTGTTAAAGACTAGATTAAGAGACACAGTTTATCTGTAGGCAAGTGAACTTCCTATTACTGAACCCCAGAAGTCACATCGGCCACCTGGCCACAGAAGAGACAACCACAGGCCTTCCTAAGTGAGCTCAGGCTCCTCTGACACTCACATGTTGTCCTGCAGACACCAAAATCCTAGGAGGAAAAAAGTAAGAGCTGAGCAGGACCACAGCGTAGGAGAGAGTAACAGGGTGGTAAGAGGATGGTATTACGTCATTTAAACTCCCTCCGAAAGGAAAGAAACAGGAGAACAGCATCAGCAGTTCTCTCATGGTCTCCCTGTTGATTCCCCAACAAGCGTCTGAAGCAGTGGCGCCTGAGAACCAGCTGTTCAACTTTTGGGAAGTTTGCAAGCCAGCCGTTAAACCCTGGGCAGCTTGAAATCAGCCGTTAAACCCTGGGCAGCTTGAAATCAGCCACTGCAGGAGTATTTACACCATGAAAATAAAAATAAAAAAATGCCAAAGCCCTGCCCAGTTTGGCTCAGCAGTTAGAGTGTTGGTCCGCGGACCAAGGGGACCTGGGTTTGATTCCAGTCAAGGGCATGTACCTCGGTTGCAGTTCGTCCCCAGCCCCAGGTTGGGGTTGTGTGGGTGGCAACCAGTCGATGTTTCAGGTTTCAGCCCTGGCCGGTTTGGCTCTGCGGTTGGAGCACTGGCCTGCGGACCAGAGTCCCGGGTTCGGTTCCCGCTAGGGGCACATACCGGGGGGGGGGGGGGGGTTCTCTCTCTCTCTCCTGCTCTCCCCCACTCTGTCCGAAGATAAATGTAAAAAACAATAATAATAATAATAAAATTCCACAAATCAGTGCTTCGCTTTTAGAAAATAAAGTTGGGTCCCTTTCCCATGTGGAAACACTAAAACTGAACATGGTTTCAAGACTTAAATGAAACAAGGAAAATATCAAGTTAAAAAAAAAAAAAAATAGCCCTGGCCGGTTTGGCTCAGCGGTTAGAGCATCGGCCTGCGCTCCGGAGAGACCCGGGTTCGGTTCCCGCTAAGGGCATGTACCTCGGTTGCAGTTGGTCCCCGGCCCTGGTTGGTCGTGCGGGTGGCAGCCACTCGATGTGTCCCTTTCACGTCGATGTTTCTCTCTCTCTCTCTCTCTCCCTCCCACTCTATCTGTGCAAAAAATGGAAAAATGTCCTCGGTTGAGGATAAAATAAATAAATAAATAACTGCACAAAAGAAGTTTTTCTAATCTATGTGTACCGTAGACAAAAACCATAAAGGACAAGACCAACATATGACTACATAAAATATTTTTTTATTTATGTCAAGAAAATGTACCCCTAACAGGCAAATTGTAAACTGGGGGGTTTGCCTGCAAAATACATAACTAAGAGTAACCTGTTAAGAACTCTTGCAAATTAGTAAGAAACAACACAAGCATCTCAATGGCAAAAGTCTCATAGAATTCACAAAATACAAAATTAATAAAGAAAATTTTAAACATACCAGGTTTTGCCTATCACAATGATAGAGAGGAGAAAGAACATAGCCAATGGTGGTTAAGTATGTAAAATATGAAAAAATGCTGATGTTTTATTGGCAACATGACAATGTATACCTTTTGATCTTACACAGTTCTGACCTTCTTCTAAGAAAAACAAAAGTGTATAAAGATTTAGTTAGATTAACATGGCCAATAATAATAGGCTAAATAAATTATGGTAAATCCATTTAATGAAATACTGTGCACACCTTAATGTTGCTGAAATACCTGACGGGAAAAGATGTTCACCACTTAAACTTTTAAAAAGTCTTAAATGGAGGCTACAAACAGCATAATCAGGGTGAAATAGTGTTTGTAAATATAAAACGTGTACTGAGAAGGTCTAAGAGGCTAGACAGCAAAGAACGACGAATATTTTCCTTTTTATTTGTCTGCACTTCTGTAATGTGCACAGATTACCTGTGTATTTTTGCTTGTTTGTTTTTAACAAAAGTTAATGGGAATTGAGTTCAGTAGAAAAATCCTAATTTCAAAGTATCACAGTTTGAATCAAATTGAATCATTTCAGGTTAAATGAACCTGCTCAAAACCAATGTTCGTCACCTTGTTTGGAACCATTTCTGAGACTCAAGTGGTCATATAAATAAGGAAGCAAACACATAAAATGACAAGAGCAATTGACAAGATGACTACAAGCTTTGTTCCAATGGCTACTGCAGTGTAATAAAGACAATTAAACAAAAACACCTTTATTTTAGTCTTTGATGTTCTTTTTCCCCCCAAGATAAACATGATTAACTTAAAAATGGCATTTACAATGCCTCTTCAAAGCATTCCCCTTTAACGGGAAACTTGGCTTCACAGAATCCAGACATTGAAAGGTTTAAAAAAAATTATAGTTGTCATCAGAAGACAAACCAGAATCTGGCGTGGGAAATCAAGGGAGTCCATTCACACTTCAGGCCCCTCTCCTCCAGGAACCAGCTGCAAAGGAGGACAGAGTTCAATACCACCACCACCACCACACCATCTACACACCTCCGGAGGGCTCCTCCTCCGCCAAAGCCACTTGTGTCTCTGCCCCTCCCTCACATTCCCATTTTCTCCATGGCAGCATCACAATTAATATTCAGTAAAATAAAAGATTAAAAAGCACAAGCAAATTCATCTGCAGGCTAAATGTCATCTTCAACAGCTCAGCTTTAGAATCCTGACCACCAGAGATCCCTTTCCCATTTAAAGTACTATGGGCGAGTCAAGCAAGTTAGTTCTGTAATCTCTTCCCCACAAAAATGGTCTAACATCGAAATAAAACAGTTTTACTGTCTTACCATTGTTATATTATTTCCATTTAGCAAAATCTGGTCTAATTTAGTAATCCTTCTTCCTTCTGGTGTGATTTCACTAAATGAATAGATTTTAAAAAACAGAGTCAAGATAAACAGAGATAGTCAAAGCCAACATTTTGATGCCTAAAATGGTAATAATTCTATATAAATGAACATGAGGTCAGACAATTGTATCAACAGTTTTCAGAGACAAAGGTTATCCACTGGGTGATGTACATTCTTCCCGAAAGGCAACAGAGTGGACAGATTGGCCTAAGACCCACATCCACTGGGGCTGATCTTCATAAAAGAAGCTGAAACTTGCCAAGGAGCTCAAATATGAAATAAAATGTTTACTATCCTCACTCTTTTTATTATTATTTACTACTAATTCCTATCTATTAAACCAATCTGAAATCGATTCAATTCCAAAAGTAGAGATACTGGTTTCGATCTTTATAATTTATATGAGCTATCATTTACATTTTATTTTATACATAAATTTGAGCAATTAATTTACTTAAGAGCACTAAATGCTCTTATTATCAATTCCTTGATTTGCCCTGAGCCCTGTTTTTATTATCTTTTTCCTTAAAGCTTTGTCTCCACTAATTTCCTAACAATCTAGTAGCATTGCATTAAGGTAATAACCCTCAGATCCAAATTTACTAGCATAGTGTCAGCAGATAAAATTTCTATCTTTAAGGTAATTCCAACAGGCAATGTTTTCTCATACATCATTTTACTCAGTACTAAAATTGCCTTAAATTTACAAGACCCCCTCCCCACTGCCCAATTCTTTAATTTTTAACACTACTCACAACTCAGTGACATCTTCCAGTACCATATCTGAAATTTGGTGTTAAGAAAAGAAATATATAAGGTTGAATTTACTCTGGTTTTCTGTCTTACTTCAGTTTCGATTGTAACATTTAACACAATGGCTCAAATTCAGAAAGTTTGTGATTGGTAAAAACTTTATCTTCTCTCAGTTACACATCCACTTAAAATACTATCACAGCTTCCCTGAGAATGCTGATTTTTATTATAGTTACCAGTAAGTAGACTGTCTATAGCTCTTATGTTCTTAAATGTTGAAGAAGGAAAAAAAAAAAAACCCCATACCACCACCATCATATTTTAAAAGGATACTGACAAAGTCATCAAATCCTAGAAGTGTGCCAACAATTTCCTTATCACTCTTCATCACGATGTGAATTCTTGATCCTATACACTTGTCCACAAGCTCTATGTATTTTTTAAGGAAGAGGGAAAGGATTATTCACCAAGTCATTACTTCAACAATATTTGCGGCCTGAGAGGGACTATACACTGTCATCCTGCCTGCACCAACGGCTGTCAAGGTCAACGGCATCCCAATCTGGCTGCACTATTCCTGGCTGAAGGCAGAAAAAGCAGAATAGACGGTCCAGGCCTCTCCAGATCCCTTAAAAATAAGACTCTTGCATTTATCAGGACTCTGATCTTTCTGATTATGACTGTACAGGGGAATCTTTAGAGATCTAGGCCCCAGTGGAACTGGGAACTTAAAAATAGGATATTGGGGGAGGACTTAAGAAATGTCACCATAAAGAGGACAGAAAAACCTGTTTTCAGTCTTGACCTACGTGACCTCATGAGAGGCACCATAGGCACAGATGGTATTACTGAAGATTGATGTCATATAGAAGGACCCCTACCCTGGGGTTGTGGGACACCTATGGGGAAATGGGGACTACATGGGATAGGAATCTATATATGACCAGGGAGCAGTACAGTCACCACAAGTTACTTAAAAGCAAATGAATACTTTTGTCCATCTTAGGGTTGTAAAACCACATTTACTACTACTAAGAGCTGTCTAAGAAGCAGGGACCAGGCCAAGTTAACTTTGGGGGATATTCAGGGGCAAGGGACTTGCACACTCCCACCTAAGTATAAACTCCAGCAATACAAAACAGACAAGGTTTAGATCTCCTCGTCCTCAAGCAGGGAGGACTCTGTGTAGCACTAGGTGAAACCTGCTGTTTCTATGCCAATAATTCAGGAATAATACAGGGACAGAGTTAGTATCCTTAGTGAGAAAAAAAAGGTCAATGATTTGACTTGTACATAAAACCAGTGGGGATGTAATAACTCCATTCTGACCCTCAGTTACTGCACGTACACACCCTGGCAGTTTCTTTTTTGTAAACATAAGGGGCTTGAGAAATCCAAAGAAAACTATAAAGATAAGGGGTTAATGAAGGCCTTGGGAAACTCAGAGAAACCATGAGAAAAAAAGAGAATAATGGTTGCCCTACCCTCTAACAGCTGCTCTCATCCCCCTTCTATCAGTTCCCCTTCCCTTAAGGGTACCAAAAGCAGCACCAAGAATGTAGTTTTCTCTGTAGTTTGTGTCTATGTAAGGGGGCAACAAAGAACGCTCAGGGTTGTCGATTTGGGGAGAGCCCCCCTTCAGCGTAATAAAGTAATAAAGTGCTCCTTTACAATTCGGCTGTGCATCTCTGGTTATCTCGCTGACACGTTATAACACTAGAAGTGTGCCAACAATGTCCTTATCACTCTTCATCACGATGTGAATCCTTGATCCTATACACCTGTCCACAAGCTCTGTATTTTTTAAGGGAGAGGGAAATGATTACTCAACAAGTCATTACTTCAACAAATATTTGCGTGTCTACTGGCACGTACTACTTGCACATGGTGAAAGATAAACCAGGAAAAGTATTCATTTTCAAAACTTTAAGTTTTCAACTACGTATCTCTGTTCAATCACTACATTAACAGAAAAGCTTTCCCTGGTTTCCACTCACCTCTTCGTAGCAATTTATCCTGGTTGTGGTTTTATATCAGATTGTTTAACCCCCCTCTAGCACTCAGCTCCATGACAGCTGAAACAGGGTGTTTTCTCTGACCACTGTGTCCCCAGTGGACAGTGCCTGGCATATGCCGAGTATTCCAAAAGAGTTTGTCATTTAATAAAGTAACAACACATCTTTGTTAAAGTTTGTCTGAAGGGAAGAACTTCGGTTACAGCCACAGCCGCTCACTCAATCACTCTCTGCTACAAAATATTAGGGAGAGAGGCCTAACTGTCCTCACCAGAGATTGATTCCTCCCTCGCCCCCAAAAGTCTATCCTCTGTACTCGATTCGCAGCCTGAACATCTCTTGGGCCGGCCTGGCCCTGTTTGGTACCGTTATTTGTCCAGTGTCCTATCTCCCCACTGGTGTGTGTGCTAATTAAAGGCGGCAATGGCCGTGGTGGGCGCCACGGGGTGGGCGCTGATGCTCCATAACTGATTGTTGAATGAATGAATGAATGAATGAATGAATGAATGAATGAATGAATGACTAATAGGACTAAGTCCCAGTTTCCTCTTTTAAGGCTCATCCCGGAGCCCGGTGCTTCTCTCAACAGACGGCCGGATGCGTGCCGGGGTCTAATCCGCGCAGCTTCGACGCCAGGCTGGGGAGGGGCGCTGCTACGAAGAGGCTGGCGACGCACTCACTAAGTGTGGGGAGTCGCGAGTCCTGCCTGAGGGACCCCACCGCGCTGAAGAGACAAGGGCGGCCTGGGACCGCGGAGACTCGGAGGCTGGACACAAGCCGCGGAAGGGACAGCCGTTGGTCCGATCCATTTTCCTAACACTCCGACCCGCAGCCCCCTGGCCCCCAATCCTAAGCTTCCGCTCCGCGCCCCCGTTTCCCGCAGGGCAACCATTACCTAGAGGTAGCAGCTGCGACGGATTAGTGGTAGCGTTAGCCGCCATGGCGACGCCGGAAGTGCTCTGCGTCCATCGACGTCCGGACGGCGAGTTTGAAAGAGCGCGCTTCCGCTCCCATAACCCCACCCCCACGCAGCCCGGGCAGACGCGACCAATCTAAGGCCGAGCGTGCGATCGGGCCATCCACGTGGATCCCGCCTGGTCCTTTCTTTCGCCGGCAGTGAGATCCTGGGAAGTATTTCTGTTCAGGACCATTTTGTAGTCTCGACAGGGACTCACTCGCCCTTCGAAGTTTCCGAGAGACATTAAAAATATCCTACCTTGTGAATACATTCATGGAAGACTAATTAAGGAAACCCACAATCCGCATTTTTGGGAGGGGATTTGAATGTTTTCTTTTTCTACTGTATTTAGTTCATTGTTCTTAACCTTGTTATATCGAGGAACCTAATTTTTAGACTTTTTGTATTCACTCTTTCTGAAACGCATTGTCTAACGGGCAACCACCAGATGGCACTCTATGTTAATGTCATTGCTCTTCGGAAACCTTGATGCTTTTGCACTTGTGTTTTGAATGGAAAGCCAACAAATTATCTGCCTTAGTCTATTTTGCATTTGTATCCTAGGAACTTAAAGTTAGAGTCTAAACAAGAGAGGCCGAAAGAACATTATTCATTTATACAACACATGGTTGGAAGTCATCCATCTTCTATTCATTGAATACTATGTATTAGTTGCACACTGTCTGGCATTTTGCTGAGTATAAAACAGTGTACAGAACAGAACTATAACGTCTTCTGCCCTTGTAGGAGATTAAGGATGTATGGGGGAGAGAGACAACTAACAGACACATGTACAAGGCATGTGAAATGTAACATAAAGCAAAGAAAAAAACCTCTCTTAATAAAATAAAAATAAAAATTAAAAAAAAAAAAAACCTCTCTTAGCTTCAATATTTCTAGATAAGTAGCTATGACAAGGCTTGAGTTCAATGCCCTGTAGGATTCAACCTCCTTAGAAATCCCAAGCCAATCCTGGCTTTGTTGCATTTTATAAATATTAAGCACTTACTGTGTGCCAGGAAAGATAACAAATACACTTACTCCTAATCTTTATGACTTAACCTTTGAGACAGAAGTTAGGATGAAGTTCCTCATACTCAGAGAAGCTAAATAATTTTCCTACTGACCACACAGTCTGGGAGGCTTCAGAGGAATCGACAAGAGTCTAGTCATGGAGGATGAATAAGCAGATAAGCAGAAAAGGGCAGGAGCAGCATTCCAAGTAGAGAGAATACTGTGTGCATTGGGCATGTGCCCACCTCCAAACATCTCTTGCTGCACTTTAAATCTTACATACTTCCTCTAAGTTTGGCATTAAACCCTTTCCTTCCCAAATGTTGCCCTTAATAGCTCCAGTCCTGAGTGATTTTTATTTTTTTGCACTTAAGATGCTCTGCCCCCAAGGTCTGAGGAATCCTGTTCATACTTCAAGGCCCTACTCAGATGTGACTCTCTGGGAAGCTTCTCTGACTTGCAGACTTGATGGGCTGTCTCATTATCTATCCTGCAACAATATAATAGCTCTCAGAAAGCTCTGAATGTATTCTCTTATAATTATCCAAGAGGTTATCACCCCCCCCCCCAAATGTGAGTTCCTCAAAGTCAAGAATTTGAGGAAGCAGTATGGTGATTTTTTTTTTTTTTTTTAAAGTCTTGACATATTTATTTATTTACTTTTTTTTTTTTTTTTTAATCATCCTCACCCGAGGACATCTTTCCATTCTTTGTTCGGGTAGAGTGGGAGGGAGAGAGGGGAACAGAGAGAGAGAGAAACATCGACGTGAAAGGGACACATCGAGTGGCTGCCACCCGCACGACCAACCAGGGCCGGGGACAAACTGCAACCGAGGTACATGCCCTTAGCGGGAACCGAACCCGGGTCTCTCCAGACCGCAGGCCGACGCTCCAACCGCTGAGCCAAACCAGCCAGGGCAGCAGTATGGTGATTAAATCCACTGATTCTCAAGTCCAATTACTTTGGTTCAAATCTTGTCTCCACCACAATTCCTTCTAATTACTTTACCTTGGGCCATTATTCCTTTGTAAGTCTCAATTTACCTATTAGAAAAAATGAGGATAATAGTATCTACTTATAGAATTGTTTGAAGGTTAAATGAGATAATCCATCAAAAATGGTTAACAGAGGACTGGCACATTAGTGATTATTTATTAAATGTGAGCTATTATTGCTTATTTATCTTCATTTCCTAATACTTAACATGATGCTTGGCTTAGAGTGGGTGCTATAAAAACTAGCATTACGCCCTGGCCGGTTTGGCTCAGCGGTTAGAGCGTCGGCCTGTGGTCCTGAGAGACCCGGGTTCGGTTCCCGCTAAGGGCGCGTACTTCGGTTGCAGTTTGTCCCCGGCCCTGGTTGGTCGTGCGGGTGGCAGCCACTCGATGTGTCCCTTCACGTCGATGTTTCTCTCTCTCTCTCTGTTCCTCTCTCTCCCTCCCGCTCTACCTGAACAAAAAAAAAATGGAAAAATGTCCTCGGGTGAGGATAAAAAAAAAAAAAACTAGCATTACTAACTTGTTTCACATTCATCTTCTTTTTTACAGCTAGACATAAGCCACTTTATAGCAGCAATTTCTTTTATTTTTATGCACTGTACTTACTACACGCAGTTCCAGGTGTACTTTATGGTCTAATGAATGTTTTTTAAATTGCTTCTCATGCCTTGCTGGTGTGGCTCAGTGGTTGAGTGTTGACCCATGCACCAAGAGGTCGCTGGTTCAATCTCTGGTCAGGACACATACCCAGGTTGTGGGCCTGGTCCCCAGTGGGGGTGTGCAGGAGGCAGCCAGTTGATGTTTTTGTTCATCAAAGTTTCTTTTTCTCCTTTCCTCTCTCTCTAAAATCAACACAGAAAAAATATTTTTTTTAAAAGATAAATGTCAAATTTGTTTGTGAAGCCATTTTCTTTTCTATCTCTATTCTTGTTTTATTTTCACCATACCATAATGAGAGCAGAGACCAAATTCAACTCAGTGTCACTACTTGATAAAATTCTGAAAAATATGATTTACAAAAGTCAATATTTTGTTTTCGATTACAGTAATAAAATGAACATTAGCAATTTTTGATACTATAGATAAAGAATAAAGAAAACCTCTTTAGCCCTAGCCGGTTTGGCTCAGTGGTTAGAGCGTCGGCCTGCGGTCCCGAGAGACCCGGGTTCGGTTCCTGCTAAGGGCATGTACCTCAGTTGCAGTTTGTCCCCAACCCTGGTTGGGTTGTGCGGGTGGCAACTACTCGATGTGTCCCTTTCACATCGATGTCTCTCTCTCTCTCTCTCTCCCCCACTCTATCTGAACAAAATATTGAAAAAAAATGTCCTCGGGTGAGGATAAAAAAAAAGAAAACCTCTTTATACAGTAATTCTTGCTTATCTGTGGTTTTGTTTTCCATGGTTTCAGTTATGCTCGGTCAACTATGGTCTGAAAATATTAAATGGAAAATTCCAGAAATAACAACTCATAACTTTTTTTTATTATTATTTTTTCCCCTTTATTGATTTTAGAGAGAGAGGAAGTGAGAGGAAGAGATAGAAACATCGATGAGAGAGGACACCTCCTGCATGCCCCCCACCGGGGATTGGGCCCACAACCTGGGCATGTGTCCTGACTGGGAATCGAACCAGCGACTTCTTGGTGTATGGGTCAATGCTCAACCAGTGAGCCACACCGGCTGGACACAACTCATAACTTTTAAATGGCACACCATGCCCTGGCCAGTTTGGCTCAGCGGTTAGAGCGTCGGCCTGCGGTCCGGAGAGACCCGGGTTCGGTTCCCGCTAAGGGCACGTACTTCGGTTGCAGTTTGTCCCTGGCCCTGGTTGGTCTTGCGGGTGGCAGCCACTCGATGTGTCCCTTCACATCAATGTTTCTCTCTCTCTCTCCCTTCCACTCTATCTGTACAAAAACGGAAAAATATCCTCGGGTGAGGATAAAAAAATAAATGGCACACCATTCTGAGTAGTGATGAAATCTCCCATCACCCCTTTCATCCACTGTGAAAGTGATTCATCCCTTTGCCCAGCGTCTCCAGGCTGTATGTACACGCTCCCTGCCCGTCAGTCACTTAGTAGTCGTTTTGCTGATCAGATTGACCGTTGTGGTATCTCAGCGCTCATATCACCCTTATTTGACCTAATAACAGTCCCAGGGCGCAAGAGTAGGAAAGCTGGCAATTCTGATTTGCCAAAGAGAGGCCAGAAACTTGCTTCCTTTTTTTAAAAAACATTTTTTCTTTCTTGATTTTAGAGAGGAAGGGATGTAAAGGACAAACACATGACCTTGCCCCTGGTGTTTAAGGGAATGGCAAGAACTATCTGCTAACAGATAACCACTGCATTGTGTAGATAACCATTGCTTTGTGTACACCGAAACTGATTGTTCCCTCAGGCACAACAGCTAACTGCAAATATCTGCTTCTGTACGTGCTTGCTTGCTCGCATACCCTTAATCCAAATTCCTTAACAGGGGCTAAAACAACTATATAAGCAACCCTCCCCCTGAGTTCGGGGCTGCTCTCTCCTCTGAGTAGGATGGGACAGTCGCCGCGGCTAATAAAGCTCTCTTAATTTGAACCCAGTTCAGAGTCTGAGTCTGGTCTGTCTCGTTGGTCTAAAACAGGGAGAGGGAGAGAGAGAGATAGAAACACGGATGAGAAAGAACATCAACTGGCCACCTCCTGCACATCCCCCACCAGGGATCAGGCCCACAATCTGGGCTTGTGCCCCGACCCAGGCATGTGCCCTGAACCGGCGACCCCTGGTGCATGGGTCCACTCTCAACCACTGAGCCACACCGGCCAGCTGGGTGGAAAGTGCTTCCTTTAAGTGAAAAGGTGAAAGATCTCAACTTAATAAGGCAGGAAAAGAACACAGTACGCTTATGCCCTGCAGGTAAAGTGGGACTACTGTAATCGGAAATAGGAGACAGAGTTTGTTTACACTGTAGAGTTCATGAAGGTCACAGGGTGTGGCTTTATTTTACTGTATTGTTTCCTGAGGCAAGATAGAGAAGAAACAACAGGCCAATTCCAGATGGAGAGTTCATTTTAATGAACCTGAAAACACGTCCTAGCTCTGTGGCTCCAGGATTTTTCTCCCTTTGGCTCTTACAGAGCAGTCATAAAATAGAATTTATATCCATCATAAAATATATGTAACTAGAAGAGGCTCTTCAATGTATTGTGTGCTCAGAAAAGCATTTCTAACTTTTTCCCTGGAGATAAATATCATAAAAATACAAACAAGTTTCTTTTCATAACAATGTTCAGAAAGTATTCCTTTATCTCAAATTATTTCCAATCTTGATACCCTCCTTCCAACACTTTTTATAATAAAGGATACATTTCTGTGTTTTTTTTCCTCAATACATATTTGTCCTTATAGATGTCTTGTTAATGAATTTATTATATTAATACAACTCATAAAAATTAATGTAAAAGTTGTTATTCTAAATATCTGTATATTTAGAGATGGAAAAAACTCTGGAAATTCCCTTTCTCTCCCAATTTTCCCCATAATGTAGCTTCTTTGCTTATAGAATATTTTAAATGATATACTTTTTAAACATTTAAGCAATAAAATAGTTATGAGCAAATTATTTAATCATAATTAGAAGCTCTAGGATGCAAAGTGACACAGATTTTTATAAAGTCATTATTGGGTCTCCTGCACAATGAATTAAACAGTTGAGGTTCACTGTACATATGGAGTTCTAAAATAACCTACCCTTACATCTTTTTTTGTTTTATTTTTTATTAATCCTCACCCAAGGTTTTTTTTCCATTGATTTTTTTTCACAGAGTGTAAGGGAGGAAGGGGGAGAAACATCGATTTGAGAGAGACACATCGATTGGTTGCCTTCTCAGCACTTGCTCCGACCAGGGCTGGAGACCAAACCTGCAACCTAGATACATGCCCTCGACTGGGAATCAAACCCAAGACCCTTCGGTTCATGAGTCTACTTTCTAACCACTGGGCCACACCAAGCCAGAGCTTCAACTTTTTTAAAAGATGCTCAATCAGACCTTAATTTTAGCTATTCCAATTGTGGAAAATGTCAAATCAGATGGAAGAAAACAGTAACATATTCTGCATACAGGGAATAATATAGTTTTGCACAGTTCTGAGCCAGCACTAAGAATTTTGTAATACCGAAAAGAAATGATAGCAACAGCTTGAAATTTTTCTACAGAATTTTTATTAGCATCAAAACAGGTCTACTGAATCATAGAAATTAAACTTGGTCATTGGAAGCCTCCTGTTTTTCTCAGCTACACTTAAGACTAGAATGCAGGTGCTTAAATGTCAAGGCCACGGGTGGAAAATACCAGCTGCTACAGTTGTTTAAACTAAGGGAGGTGCAACTATAATGATAAAGTTCACAGCCAGTCACTGTAGTGATCTCAAGTTCTATCTGAAGCACACACCTATCTTTAGTTTACTCCCACACTGTCCTGGATAAGACTTGTTAAATCTGTTAGTATTCCCATATTCGCTTTAAATTGACATAGGATGACATTAAATGCTTTTAAAAAAATAGAAGTAGTACAACAGCAAGGACCTGGTGACAACAGATCCCATATATTTTATGCTGACCAGAATGCTGAACCCAGAAACAAGAAAGAATGAAAATAATAGCTTTTAATAGAAGGACTAGAATAATCATATTATAGGTTTCCCTGTAAACTTCCTTTATTGTCAAGGATATTCTGCTTCAGGGTGTAGTTGCTTCCAAATTCCCATAGGCAATATTTAAATAGGAAGAAAAATAAAAACATAGAATGCCGCGAGAAGCACTGGGCAAGCATTTAAATATTGAATACACGGAAGCAGAGCCACCAATATGCCTCCTTGTCACCCGTGATTTAAGAGTAAAGGGCGTAACTATGGAAAACATTATGGTGTTACCTCAAAAAATTAAAAATTGAACTGCCATTTGACCCAGTGATTCCACTTTTAGAAATATACCCTAAGAAGCCTGAAGCACCAATCAGAAAGAATATATGTACCCCATGTTCATAGCAGCACTATTTACAATAGCTAAGATCTGGAAACAGCCCAAGTGTCCATCAGTAGATGAATGGATAAAAAAGCTATGGTACATATACACAATGGAGTACTATGCAGCGGTAAGAAAGAAAGATCTCTTATCCTTTGAGACGACATGGAGGGACCTGGAAAGTATTATCCTAAGCGAAACAAGCCAAGCAGAGAAAGACAAATACCACATGATCTCATTTGTGGAATATAATGAACATATCTAAGGAACAGGGTAGACCCAGAGATGTGGAAGTGGGGTACAGACAGACAGCCCTCCGAAGGGGGGGGCGGGAAGAGATAAACACAGAATACGCATATACGCATAAGATGGACACGGACAACAAAGCCGGGGGCGGTGGGGTGGGGAGGAGGGTGTCAATGGGGAAAAAAAGGAGAAACATCTGTAACAAAAATGAAATTAAAACAAAAAAAGAAAGAAAAGAGTAAAGGGCGAAGAGACCCTAAGCCAGAGAGTGCAGAGAAAGGAAGGGAAGGGACTGCGCACTCGGAATGAACAGAAAAGATGTTTAAAAGGACGTAAGGCTGAGGACAGAGCAGGGGCGGCGGCGAATTTGAGGAGGACGACACGGAGCAGGGAGAGGACGCCAGTGGACAGAGGGCGGGGCCAGGTGTGCGGGAGTCCCCGCCCGGCCGCCGCGCGCACTCCGACCCCTCCCGGCGCCCGTCCCTTCGGGCCCCGCCCCGCCCCGCCCTAGGGCCCCGCCCCGCCCTCAGGCCCCGCCCCGGCCGGCCGGCGGCGGCCGCGTCAGGTGACAGCCCGGAAGCAGCCGAGGCGGGTGATCGCAGCGCGGCGGCGGCCCGGGGGCGGGGCGGAGCTGCAGGAGCCTCGGCCTCCTCCAGGCCCCCTGCGCGGCCCTCATGCGGCGCCCCGGCTGACACCTGGAGTCCGCCGGTCGCCGTCCTCCTGGGGACCGCCGAGTCACCTGGCCCGCCGCCGTTGGCGGTTGAAGTCGTGGTCGTGCGGGCCCGCGGCGGCTGCCCATGGAGAAGGCCGGGCGGGGCTGCGATGGCGCCCCGCGGGGGCCCGTGCTGCACATCGTGGTGGTCGGCTTTCATCACAAGAAGGGCTGCCAGGTGAGCAAGGGGCCGCCCCGCCCCCGCCGTCCTCTCGCCGGCGACGCCCACCCCCCGCCGCTCGGTGCTCCCTGCAGCGCCCTCGGTCCTTCGCCTCTGCGCTCGTCCCCTCCCGCCCGCGCCTCCCGCGCGCCCCACCTGCCCTGAACATTGCGTTTCGCAGCGGAGGAGCTGCGTGTTGGTGTGTTGGGGTCCGCAGGAGTTCAGGTTCCCAGGGGGGTGGGAGGAAGGAGTCGCAGCCCCTCCCCGCTCTCTTCCCCCGTCCTTCTCCGTCTCCCCTGCCTTCTGGCCGCCCCCCTGTGATGGGAGCCTTCGGACAGATTCAGCACTTGGACTGCGTTTTAAAGGTAGCGAGCTCGGTGGGCTGCCACACCTGTGCCTCGTGTTGGTTGAAGCACTAGCGGAGAGGTGGCACATCCACTTCCTTTGTTTATCTTGGAAGCCCCAGAACGGGTCGCCTTAGGGTGGTGAAGTGACTCCGCCCCCCCTTCCCATTGGGCCTTGGTTTTGCTATTTGATCTAGTCCTGATCTTGCCTTTCAGTGAGAGATTGACCTCTCCAGTTCAATTGCAATAAAACAAAGTGTATTTACCTTGCAAAGAAATGTGCAAATACAAAGTCATTTGTAAGCTTTTTTCACTTAATGGTGAAGGGAACAATGGCACATTTGCAGCCAATGTATTGAAGGCAAGGAAACAGAATAGAAACCGGGTTATTTAATGAGCACAAACACTGGAAGGCAGTGATGTCACAATGTGTGGTGAACAGGAAATTGAAATGTTTAAAATATTAAAAATACTGATTGCTACCACTAGGTAATGTAGCATTTCCTTTCTTGTATTTCACAGGAATGTAACATTTTAGAAGACTTCTATTGGCAAAATTTAAGTTCGATAGAGGATAACAGAAAAGTGATGAAGGAAATGAGAAGATGGTTGTGTTTGTGTTTTAAAGACTGCTTGCTTGCTGTTCCGTGTCCCTCAGGTAGAAATGGCATTGAAAGATACCAAGGAGGAAGTGGCATTATTCAGTGTGGTATTTAAAAAATTCCAAGCAGCCGTAGATTATAAGGTTTTTAATTGTGCCCTATATTTAGAGGTAAGAGAATAGATATTTGAGTTTGCATCATGGCATGCAAACAAAGTGTTCATCATCATTCGATTTTTAATACTTTAAAACTTCACATCTGTCATCTTAATTGTCACTTTATAATTTCCTTTGGAGATGGATGAAGTAACTGAAGCTTGAGGAAGTAAAATGATCTGCTGAGGTCACACTTCAGAACCACCCAGGAGTCAGACAGAATCGCACTGGCACGGCATGTGTTCATTCTGCAGAGCCAGGTGGCATTTGGGAGTCTTTTAGGGTCAAATAAGAGTAGGGGTCTCACTTCTGAACCAAACTAATTTGAAGACAAAAAAGAAGGAACTATCGGGAGACAGAATAAGATCTTTTAATTTTTGCTATCATCTAAAGTCAAGATTAATTGTTATGTTTTATATCTTTTATTGGCAAAAGTAATGTAATTTTTATTTCCAGAGAGGAAAATTTATTTTATTTTAGAAAACAAAATGTAATGCTGCTTGCTGCTTAGAGAGTAAAGAAAACTCAGCAACAGATTGTAAGATGAAAGAGCCACTTGGGGCTGAAGTAGCACCCTGGCATTTCTCTGAATTTGTCTGGGTTTTGGTTTCAGCACTGAGGTTCGTAACTTTTGTAAAATGAACACTATGCTGGGAGTTGGGAGACCTGGATGACGTCCTGGCCTCATAGCCCCCAGACCTCCAGCAAGTCCAAATTGCTTAATTTCTTGGTATCTTATTTCTTCTAGGAATTTTAGAGCTGTTGTGGATCCCCAGAGATCATCTACTCCATCTCTCTAAATTTACAGATGAGTAAACTGAAACCCAGAAAGGTTAAGTGACTTAAGCATACTTACAACTAATTTGGTGCTATCAGGAAAAAAAAAAAAAAAACAGTAGTTAAAGCAGTAAAACCAGATTTTATTCAGAAAAGCTATTGCAGGAGGGAAGAGACCTCAGTATAGAACTGGGCTCAATTCTGAATACAACAAGAAAAAGTGGAAATTTATAGCCAAGGAGAAGAGTTGGGGTCAGTGAAAGGAAATTTACTATATCAGGGGTAAAAGGGGGTTTCTGGCTAAATTAAACAGGATTCTTGCTAAAACTGGACAGTGCAGAGTCAAAATCAGTATATCAGGTGTTTCAGAGGGTGGAATACATCCCTCTGGATATATTAATCAACTACCTTATTCTCCATTTTTAAGACTTTCCTTCCAGGTGCGAAGGACTGAGAGTGCATGGCTCATTGAATTTGACTCTGACTTCAAATCATTTTCAGTTGCGGGAGGGTGCTCTGTTCCACTGGCCTTCCCAGTATTCCAGATGCTGCGGGTTGTGTTGATCACCAGTTCTTTCCATGCTCTGAGATTATTCATAGCGAAAATTCCCATACTTGATTGTCATTTGTCATTTTTAGATCCAAGGGAACTGAAGTGAAACTTTTGCCTTAAAGGAATGCCTTACAGCAGTCTGCAGGGTCAAGCATGATAGCTTTGCGCAGGGCAATGTAGAATGTACTAAATGTTCAAAGAGCCCAGTCGGTGTGGCTCAGTGGATTGAGCATCGTCCCGTGGACTGAGAGATTCTGGTTCGATTCCCAGTCGGCACATGCCATTGTTTCAGGTTAGAACCCCAGTAGTAGGGGGCATGCAGGAAGCAGCCCATCAGTGTTTCTTTCTCACATCGATGTTTCTATTTCTCTCTCTCTTCCTCTCTGAAAAATCAATAAAAACATTTAAATGTTCATGGACACCTCTGTTACAAAGCTGCTCTATAAGGACTGCATGATAAAGAAGTCAGGTCGATTCCCAGGGACCACAAGATTAAAGTCGCCTGCTAATGCAGCTTTGTTGAAGATGTTCCATCATCTTGTTTCCTACTTTTTTTTTCACCTTTGAGGCCTTCAGATGTATCTTAATGAAAAATTCCTTCATTTGAATTGAAACGAACATCTAATCACTTTACCACTTGGTCATTTTTTCACATATATTGGGGTAATTTGTGGGAATGAATTCTTGTGTAGATAACATGTTAATTTCTAGTGGTGATAATTCCAGTTGATGGATATACTTGACATTTAGAACTTTTTTTTTTTCAGTGAGTGAAAGTACTACCATGACATCTAAAATAGTTTTAAGGTATTAATCCATTTCAACTCTTTTCCTAAAATTAAAAAAATGCAGCATTTAACAAAGGATCCTTCTTTCTTAAAAACCCACCTGCATTAGATTTTTTGACACGAGATAATTTATGAACACCTCCTTTGTAGTAGTTTGCTTGTTATAGATTGTGTATTCCAGAGTTTTGTTTGTTCCTTATTTGCTCTGTGGCACTAAATATATAAACCGTATGTGTCAGATTAGTGGGGGTTGGCAAAATAATATAAGCAAACATATCAATTAAACTTCTTGGTTCTTTCATAGATTGGAAATTTTTTTAACATTTTTTTTTTCTTTATTGATTTTAGAGAGAGAGGAAGGGAAAGGGAGAGAGAGATAGAAACATCATTGAGAGAGAACATCGATTGGCCCCTCCTGCATGCCCATCACTGGGGATTTGGTCCACAACCTGGGCATGTGCCCTGACTGGGAATTGAATCAGCGACCTTTTGGTGTATGGGTCGATGCTCAACCACTGAGCCACACCAGCTGGACTTGGAATTTTTTTTAAACACACAAATTAATAGGAACTAGTTATTCTCCAAAATTATTCCAAAAAGTTGGAATTATTACTTGATTTTTGACCACTGTTCTGATTTTGTTCTGTTTGTGGTTTTGTATATATAGCTGGAAATATTAATTCTTGAATAAACTGGTTTTACTAGACTGTACTTTTTTAAAATAGAACTATGGAAGAACTAGAGCTCATGTTTATACTATTTCCAACGACAAGTAAAGCAAGTAGAATGAGGGAGGGGACAGTATATTTTCTATTGTTCTGAGTGGTCCCATCCTGGGAACATCTCCTTGGGTAGCAGGATGTTGTGTTGCAAATTCAGGGGTGGGTTGAGGAGATTGGGAGTGGGAGTTGGTTTATGTTAGAGTGATAGTGACAAGCCCTGAGCCATTCAGGTTTTGGTGACAGATGGCTGGCTGATGCATGGAGTTTTGGCACCTGCTGTTGATAGACTCCTGTGGTGACAATGATGAAACATTGAGGAGATATTGTTTGTGATTCTTGTTGGAATAAGTAGGACTTTGGAACAGAAAGAACAAACTTTGGAGAGCTAGAGGTTAGGGAAGAATAATGTCTAGATTTTTTTTTAGCTGCTCAGAGAAACTTGTGAAACAAGATTGCATTTCCTGGCCCTCCACAGCAATTTTATTTCTTGAACTTGACTATTTTGGTGGAGGTATTTTCCTGATGTTCTCCATGCTTTTCATGTGCCGAAATGGTGAGCATGCCTGGCTTCGCAGGGCTGCGATACCAAGTCTTCACCTAGTTAAATGCGAATGCATGATGGGTAACCCTCTCGTAGTATTATGATCCTTTGTGGAGCTCAGATTTAGTTAGATGAGGGAGAACTGCAGAAGGGCCCTGGTCTACTAGGGATGGGCACTACAGAGGGGGATGAAGACATAAAGAGAGAGGAGTCTTTACCTACTGAATAATTTTGAGAAAGACTGGTCTAATATATTTTGGTTAAGATACCATCAGGTTAAAAACTTGATTTCTTCCTAGGAAATTTGTTATTATAATTGGTATTTTCAAACAATTTTTAAGTCACATTCTAGCAGTTTTAAAAAATAACATTTCTTATGATCAAAAGTAATATGTATTCACTGTAGTAGAAAAGTGAGAAAATACAGAGAAGAAAAAGAAAACTAGCACTTAAAATCCTAGAGAAATCTGCTCTTAACAACTTGATGAATATCCTTCCAGTTTTTTGTTTTCATTTTGAGAGTACATTTATTAAAGCTGGGGACAGTGAAACAAGAATGGCTTAGGGTAGAAGAAGCAACAGGAGAAAGACTAGGCGGGGCTGCTTTGGCTCCTGGAGACTTTATGGGCAAGAAGTGAGCCGAGTGGGGCTGCCATCACTCACTGGAGAGTCAGAGAAAAGGGGCCTTGAGGACAGGTTCAGGGGTTAGTCTGGGACGAGCTGCTGCTGCCCATTGCTCCCCTAGTTGCAAGTCTCGTGGGGTCCCTTAGAGTTTAGGAGCTGTATGCCTGTGGGGAAGGAGAGGGGGAAGGGAAAGGTGCTGGCATGCTCCCTGGAGGGGCAGCTCACTCCAGTTATTTTTTATGAATATACATAGCTTTTTCCAAAAACATATACTGTGATCATATTATATAAGTGTATATTATGTAATCATAATAACATACTGCCTTTTATGTAATAATATACCATTAATATCTTTCCATATTAATAAGTATTGAATTATAACATTTTGAAAAAATCAACTAAAATTTTTTTTGCCTTCCTCTCCAAAAGTCTCATTGAAATAACAAAAAGAATTAGGAGCTCAGAGAAAATGCTAATAAACCTGAGAATGCCAGAAATTGGGGGCATACACTAAAAACTTTGTTCTTTCTACAAGACACAGTGTTGGACAGACTTCTTTGAACTTTCATTGATCAATAATGAAAAATAATAATAGCCTGAAATGTTGCTTAATGCCCCCTTATGCCCCGCCAACCTCCCATCAAAACCATAAACCTGAAGCTCTTAACTATTGAGAACAAAGGAACCAACTGATGGGAAGCAAACCTAGATCTTGGCTCCCTTCTCAGGCTCCTTTGTTGGACCTCCTCCACGCAGTTCAATAGGGCGCTGGATTTCCTTAGGGCTCCAGGGCTCCCTGGTGTCAATTACTGGCTAGTTGATGACAGCTCCCAAATGTATGTCTCTATAATGTCTATATCACTACCCTCTAATGCACATTAAAATTTAGCAACCTGTTAAATCAGAAAGGAGGAAAAGCTTACAAATCTTTCTTCCTTTTACTCCTTTTTTCTTTGTCCCCTCCTATCCCATAGGATTCCTGGGAATGTCAAATGACATCAACAAGCGTGGTTTACCCTTACCACTGTCTTTCAGAGTTTAAAAGCATTTTTGCCTTTCAAGATAAAATTCTCCCTTTACTCAGCAACCTTTTGGCTGACAACCTTCCTTTCCATTTTAGGTGGAGTTCTCTTACCCGCCCCTGATTCCAGGAGATGGACACGACAGTCCCACTATACCTGAAGAATGGAAATATTTGCCCTTCCTTGCCTTACCAGATGGCGCACACAACTACCAGGAAGGTATGTAAACAGAGAGTGGATCAAATAATGAGTGTCATTTTTTAATTTGACAAGTCATCTTAGATTCTAAATACTTTGCAAGTGGAAGGCCTTTGGTTCATTGTGACTATAAAATATGTAAATGCTTGTGTGGAGATGAGTGGTCATGCAGTAGAGGATCTCCAGGAGAGCACCAGACTTATGTCGGTGACGACTGGTGAATCTTAGCCACTCTTGCCAGCATCCAGGCCAAAGTAAGTGATAGGCCACATTAGGATGGTCACCGCCAGTAGCACTTCCTGCATTTATACTTCCGACTCCTCTCAGAGGCAAACTAAAGGCTTTGACTGACAATGAAGGACTACATTTTATCATGGAATTAGAGGCTCTACCAAAATACTAGGTTGAACTTGTATTCAAGTTGGATTACCTAAATATACAGAGAAGTTGAAAGAACAGTGTTGCAAATATTCCACCAATGTTCATTGTATTTGGGTTTGTGCACAGTTTTGCCCGTACTATTTGAAAGTCGGTGTAAATATCATGACACTTTAGCTCTGATTACTTCAGCACGCCTCTCCTAACAATAAGGTCATTTCCATAACTTTCAGTATCATTATCATAGCTAAGATTTGTCAGTAATTCCATAATACCACCTAATACCCAGTCTATGTTCAAATTTCCCCATTCGTCTAAGAATTGCTTGGATCTGTTCAAGATTCATGTATTGCCTTTGGTTTTTCTATTCTCTATTTTGTTTTCATCTAGAATAACCATAGGTAAATTGTTTTCTGAGATAAATTATCATAGTCTTGATTTAACCTGTTAAGATTCAGTCTTCTGTGCTCTTGCGATGAGTGTGTACCATGAGCGGGATTCTCACAACCAGTGGTTGTGATGCTAGAAATAAGTGTGGCATGGGTTCCTTGTTGTAGTCTTGTTTGTAATGGCTACATTATAATAACTTCAAGTGGCATCGTTTACTCATATGGGCAATTCACTTTAGTATTGACCTTTTTCTGTGTATCTCTTAGATACTGTGTTTTTTCACTTACCACCCAGAAATGGAGGTGGAGCCACTGTGTATGGAATCTCTTGCTATCGACAAATTGAAGCCAAGGTACGATAGTTAAGATGAGCAACAAAAAAGCACTTGAAAATTCTTCCTTAAGTATTGCCACTTAAAATGTAAAATTTGGAGAAATACATAGTCTTTTTTTTTAATATGGTGCCTGTCATATTGTTTTAAATTTTTATAAACAGTTTGTAGCTATTTGCCCAATAGTAACAATTTATTCACATACATGATTTTATAAGTTGGTATTGGTGATTATAATTATATTTGCGCCATGAATATTTTGCACATTGTTTTCAGGTAGTGATACCCAACTTAGTCATTTGTCTTCAAAAGATCGTATTTATATGTCATGGTGTCCTTGAATTTTCTATTTCTAGTGTTTGGTATATAAGTTAGAAACATGGAGTGGTAATAGGTGTCTTTTTGTTTTTTTGTTGTTGTTGTTTTGTTTTTGTTTTTAATTCTCACCCCGGGATATTTTTTTTCATTTATCTTCAGATAGAGAGGGAGGGAGGGAGGGAGGAAGGGAGGGAGGGAGGGAGACGAAGATAGAGAAACATTGATGTGAGAGAGAGACACAGCGACTGGTTGCCTCCTGCACGACCCTGACCAGGGCCAGAGACCAAAACACAACTGAGGTACGTGCCCTTGACCAGAATTGAACCCGCAACTTTGGTCTACGGGCTGATGCTCTAACCACTGAGCAAAACCAGCTAGGGCTGTCTTTTTGTTTTTTTAAAGCAGCATTTTAGAAGTAATGGAAAGTACTTACAGTAGGTGCAAACCACTTGCAAGCTATCTTAATTACCTACAACTAAGACTTTGATCATTCTTAATCTACCTGCCAGCTTAATGCCCGACTTACAGTACTAGCTCTAATTAATAAATTCAAATAAGCCACGGTGGGTGGCTTCCCCTTTTATGGTTTGCTTCTGAGCATCACTGGTTTGGGTTTTTTGTTGTTTTTGCTTTGTTTGGGTTGTTCTTGTTTTTTGCGGTGAGGGTACTCTGTATGGTAGCTTTGTGCATTTGATTTGTTCATATGCTGTTACCCTTACATGCTTTTATATGACATGGATAGAGCTGTCCTTTCTTGGCAATCAGGTTTTTTTACTGCCTCTTATCCCCTACAGGCACTCAAGCACTAGGAAAATGAATTCTGCAAAGCTGTTGGCATGCACAGCAGTTCTCATGCTCTGCATGACCTTTAAATGGTATTTCATACCGCCTGTCTCCCTCACCCCCAGGTCTGACCCACCCCAGAGTATACTGGAGTTGCCCTTTCTCCAAGTTTTTCTAGCCTCATCTGATAACATGACATATAAACCAGATATCAGAGGGACCCAGAGCCTAGGAGAAGGACTTGAACTCCTTCTGAACAAGGTAGAGAGGTAGAAAACAGATGCAAGAAAGGCTCTACTTGACTTAATTTAACAACTGGTCAGTCATCAGTCAGTTGAAGTCACTGAGACCTCTTGATCCTCAGGACAGATCCAAGGAGATGTCAGGCAGAACACTGGAAAGGGAAGTGTATTCTTACCTCCCTCAGCCTCATCTGAGATTGATCTAATCAAGGCTTATTTTCCACTAGCAGAGAACGGTGCAAATCTCACATGGTCATCCTCGGAATCCTGGAGGCAGGTGCTAAGGCTCGGGGCTGGGCTATAATACTAGTCTGCCAGAATAGACCCCAGGTAGCCTAGAACGACCACCTAACAACACTACTGACGGTTCTCCATCTCTGGAGGAACAAGCTATTCTGTCTGCTCTTAAACCGTCTCCTCTCACCAAAACAATGGGCCCTGAAAGGGCGGCTCATTTTACAAGCAGAACCAGGGATGGTTGCTGTGCATCGAGTGTGGCAGCTTACACAAAGTATTCTGATCAGACTGCAAGTGCCTTGGGAATAAGATTGTCTTTCACGTTCTGTTCCCAGATTCCAGCACACAGTGCCCTGGCCAACTGATACTTACTCATTCAATTAATATTTTCTGAGAGTCTCAGTAAATACTTTTAGAATTTAATTAACCAAATGCAGGAAATGTTTTTCATCTAATTGCCATTTTTATGTTGAAAGATAATGAATCTTAAGTATTTCTGAGAAACATTTCTAATAGTGACTGTTTGTAATAGGCACTGAAAGTCCGGCACGCCGACGTCACCAGAGAGACTGTGCAGAAAAGCGTCTGTGTTCTAAGCAAGCTGGTAAGAGACCCGAGCACTCCCTGTTAACGTGTTTGTTCAACGCTAATGACAGATTTTTACTTGAGGATCAGGCATTATTAGAATAAGGAGAGATTTAGGAAAACAGTAATATATTAAAATTCGATGTTTATGCTCCCGCAGCTCCCCTCTCCCTGCCTTTCTGCAGTTGCACACTTATTTGCTCTCCACCCAAAACAAGATCGGAGAAGGAGCTCTAAGAGATACATAGCTTGTGGGGAAGGAGGGTGACACTTGACCAAAGTGAGGTAGTTGGTACATTTCATTTTTCCATTTTGGTTTTATTCTCAAGACTTTGGATAAATAATATTTTACTAAAATTCGAAATACTATAATTATATTCAGACTATTGGTGACTGTGAGGAAGTGCATGACTCTTACGATGGAGGCGTTATAGCCTTACCTGCTCTTTAAAAACGGCAAATGTTAGAGGAAGGGAAGCAACATGATCAGTTGCACTATAGCAGTACTTTTATTTTAATTATTTTTTGTATGTTTTTATTGATTTTTTTTTAGAGAGGTAGAAACCTTGATGTGAGAGAGATACATCGATTGGCTGCCTCCTGCACGCCCCCCACTGGCTATTGATCCTGCAACCCCAGTATGTGCCCTGACTGGGAATCAAACTGGGACCTCTCAGTCCATGGGACAGTGTTCAATCCACAGAGCCACATAGGCCGGCCTATAGCAATACTTTAAACTCTTTCTTCTGTGTACAAGTTGATCACATGCAAGTATATCATCATTTTAACCTTATTTTTTAAGGAATATATAACATTTCTTATTTTTCATAGCTCTCTTTGTTAAATCATTTGTGATGTTCCACTTTTATTACTAATAACACCTTTACCAATAATGCCGAATACCTAATCCTACATATGTAGTATATAGTACCCAAATCCCCTTTGTGAGGGAAAATCCGGATCTCTGTCATGTTAATTACCTTACATCTATATGATTACTGAATACAAATGTTTCTGCAGTTAACCTAAACCAGAAGTTGAGAATATTTTATTAGACTAGTCACCAAATGTGTGTAGTTTTTTAAATTATTCTGCAATAGTCCAATTTCTTATATCCACAGACAATTGAAATGTAGTTTGCTTGATACAAGTTGAGTTTCGCAAGAGAGAATTTGTTTCGGCTTTTATTACTAAGTTTAAAAACAAAACAAAGAAAATCTTTGAATAATAATAATTTAATACCCTGGGCCTTAATAATGAGATTTTGAGGATCAGGGTATTTCTTCCAAGACAGTAATTTTAAGTATAGGGCAAGAATAGTCTCCTAGAAAAGGAATGGTTATAAAAGATCCCAATATCAGCAAATTGGTAGATGGCTAATCTGATCCGTATACAGTTTCTGGAAGGGCAGCCTGACAAATTTACATCAGTGAATTACTTTTTTATATTGGGCCAGATGAGCATAGAAGTAGTAGGTATTAAAGTAAATGCAACATTTGAAAAGCTTATATCTCAAAGAACAATTATAATGACAGTAAATGGCATTTATCAAGTGCCTACATGTCAGGTATTAATTGTATACCACTTTTGTAGGCACTTTTTAGATATAGTTGTTATTTCAATCCTCATAACAACTGTGAGATATAAGTATTTACTGTTCTCATTTTACAAATAAAGATATACTTCAGAGAAAACCATGTCTCTCTAGACATATAACTCCTAAGTGGTAAGATTGGGGTGAAAATCCAGCCTTATCTGTCTCTAAACAGGCCTAGGGGTTGGGGAAGCTAGCTCACACAAAGGGGGTTGGTGGTTCATAGTGCGTTGTAGTCTATATACTAAAATCTACTGATTTTATGCTCAGATGGTAATAGTGATATAGTAACAAAGTACTGGGGGGGTATTCCAGTATTACCTGTCTTAACTAGAATATACACACAGCATTGGCCTGTGCATCCTGAAAATGACATAGAAATCAGAAAACATCCAGAAAAGAACACTAAAAGTAAAAGAATAGAGATGGTAAAAAAAAAAAAGGAGGGAGGGCGTCTTAAATAGGAAAATTACAAACGAAAGAATAACTTTGTTCAAGTATATAAAAGAATGTTATGATAGAGGACACAGACAAGTTGTAAGCCTCCATAGAGGACAGAAAAGGTAAATAAACTTAAATTTAATTGTGAATATTCAGCTAGTTTTAAGAACTGGCTGCTATAAGGATGCTTAAATGTCTCTGCAAGCCAGAGAACGGTGAGCAGAATTGGACTGTGGTTGGCATTATGATGATAATAGCCAGCATGTCAGTGCTTTCTGGGTGCCCGATACTGACTGAGCGTTTTCCCCCGGCGGTTTAATTCTGAAACAACTCCGTGAGATGTTGTCTTTCATGTGCCCGTGTCTGCGTGAGCAAGCAGGTGTGCAGAGAGGACGTGCCCGGTCATGCAGCTGGGTATTGGGGGCTGCCCAGGCGGTTGGTGCCCGTGCTCGCCCACTGCACTCCGAGGGGTGGGCACTTCTCACTGCAGCCGAGGGGCTGGCACAGCACCTACCACTCTCAGCTGTGAATCGCAGGGTGCTGACGTGGAGAGTTACTGACTTTTTTCTTTGTATTCTCTTCAAGTGAAAAGGCTGTGGGGTGTTTGTTTTTTTACTATTATCAAACTGATGGCAATTTTCTTTGTTTTTTCCTTAAGCCTCTCTATGGCTTACTTCAAGCAAAACTTCAGCTCATTACGCATGCATATTTTGAAGAGAAGGATTTTTCCCAAATTTCCATTCTAAAGGTAACTTGATACCCCTCGATAGACAGATTTATGAATCAAGTAAATCTTGTCAGTAATATTGTGAAAGATAATCACTTATTACCTCAAGAAAGACATTCTTCTTTGAAAGTCACATTGAAGGGGCAGGGATCTGCCGAAAATGTACAGTTCATACTTATGACATTGAACCAAACTGTCTTTTATTAGGAAATAATGCAAATGACTATAACTAACATAAATGTTTCTGTTACTAAAGGGTAATTTTGCTATGGAATTGTTTCTTCTCATCTGCTTATGTCATTGATTCACTTCTGGTTCCTGACCCCACAGGAAAACTGCATGACTTTCACTGAAAGGGATAACATGCTTTCCCAAGGCTGCCGTGGGGGTAGAACATGGGTCCCTCCTGGATTCCACCGAGAGTAGGGCAGTTCGGTATTTAGCAAGGAGGAGAGGGAATTTATCCAGGAGTCCGCCACGCGAATGACTCGAGCTCTAAAACGCAGAGGAAGAGACAGGAGTGCTGGGAACTGGGAGGTTTTCCCAGAGACCTTAGCTGTTTCTACATTTGGAGCCTGACAAAACAAACTGCCTCAGTTAAAGAACCAACTTTTCCCTGATCCTCATATTTCTAATTCAGTGTCCAAAGTGATACTGAAATGTCTATATTGAACCTGTATTTTATAGGAACTCTACGAACATATGAATAGCTCCTTGGGAGGAACATCATTGGAAGGATCCCAAGTACATCTTGGTAAGTAGCTTTTTTACAAGTCGGAAGAAATGCCCTTACTTCTTTCCGTTTGGCACATCGAGTTAGTTGATCAGAATCACGTTTCTGTATGGGATTTCACTTCTTCCAGTTTGATGCTGCTGCTTCCTTAAATATCTTCCTAGCCAGTATCTATATTGACAAAGGTTATAACATACTTTTTTTTTACTTTATTGTCGACACTATTACAGATGTCCCCATTTCCCCCACTTTGCGCATCTCCGCCCAGCACCCACCTACCCCTCCCTCTGTCCATCACCACTCTGTGGTCTGTGTCCATGGGTGTGCATATATGTTCTTTAGCTAATCCCTTCCCCTTCTCACACCAGTCTCCCTCCCACTCTTCCCCTCCGACAGCTCTCAGTCTGGTCCATGCATCCATGCCTCTGTTTATATTTTTTTTGTTAGTTTATTTTGTTCATTTGTATAACGTATTAGTACCAATATCCGTAAGTATTCTAGTATAAGGGACATGTCTGCTTTTCAGAATAGTAATGGAAGTTTTTTTCTTCTCCTTACATTTATGGTCAGTTCCCTGGTGTTAACAGAGAGGGAGGACAAAAGAGAGATCTGCTTAGCGCTTTTCTACTTGAAGAGTTTTCAAGTTGGGAGTTTTGTTTAATTTACACTATTTGACCACCCAGAATATTCATTGGTGTCCAAAGTATTCAGTAGGTACTCAGTATTTTCATGATTAAAACAAAAGTTTTTTTTGTGTGTTTTTTTTTTTAATTTTTTTTTTCTTTGTTGATTTTAGAGAGAGAGGAAAGGAGAGGGAGAGAGAGACAGAAACATCAATGAGATTGAACATCGATGGGCCGCCTCCTGCATGCCCCCCACTGGGGATGTGCCCTGAGCACAACCTGAGCATGTGCCCTGACCAGGAATCGAACTGGCAACCTCTCGGTGCATGGGTCAACACTCAGCCACTGAGCCACATCAGCCAGGCAAAACAAAAGTTTTAATCACACAGTGATTTATACCCAATTCCTGTTTCAGCATGAAGTAGCCAAAGAGGTAGTCCACTTTTGCAATACTGTGTGTTACAAAAGCTTGTTACAAAACTCCTATTCTGAGAACATGTTTTTCTCTAAATTATTTTCTCTTGTCTTCTGGCAAATGATCAGAGAAGACTCTGATTCAGAAATAATAGCCTATGGAGGATAGTGACCAAACACGCTGTTTAAATGATTGACTGCCACCATAGTACATACTTCATCACTTCTAAGTTTGTGTCAAGCCCTGGTCAGTTTTGCTCTGTGGTTAGAGCATCAGCCTGTGGTCCAGAGAGACCTGGGTTCAGTTCCTGCTAAGGGCACGTACCTTGGTTGCAGTTTGTCCCCGGCCCTGGTTGGTCGTGCAGGTAGCAGCCACTAGATGTGTCCCTTCATGTCGATGTCTGTCTCTCTCTCTCCCTCCCGCTCTATCTGAACAAAAAATGGAAGAGTGTCCTCGGGTAAGGATAAAAAAATTAAATAAAGTTAAAAAGTCAGTTTGTCAGTGGCACTTGCCACATTTCAAGGGCTCAATGACCACCAGATTGGACAACCGAGATTTGGGATATGTCCATCACAGAAAGTTCTACATTTTCCTTAATGCATGCTGTGTTTAACTATTAATGATTTAATGATGATTTAATAAATTCTGAGTACATGTATATGCAATCAAATACTACATAATATTTTAATATTTACGTATTCCTACTTTTTTAATCTTTATTGTTGAAGTATTACAGATGTCCCCTCTTTTTCCCCCACTGCCCCCCCACACACTCTTTTTGTTTACCTGCCTTTTCTTTGAGGGCAAAAATAGTTTTTGACAAAAACAGTAGGTTGTTGTTACAGATTAGCTTTTTTGTTATCATTGTAGGTCTGTCTCCTCGAGACCTTGTACTTCATTTTCGACACAAGGTATGTATAATATTATATTTAACTTCTGGTGCACTAAACTTGTGTTCATCTAACTGGGCAAATTCCATGTGCTGCATGGTCACACGCAGTTGTGGCATAACCATGTTTTAGTTCTTCTAAGTCATCTCTCATAATGGCGCAGAGCTGAAAGTACTGGTAATACTTGTATGAGAGAAATTTCTAAACACATACAAATACCGTCTTTATTTTAATGCAGGATAGAATACTGTTTTCTATTGTCTTTTAAATTTCAGGTATCATGAAATTAGAGTGGGAATATGTGTTTTAACTTTGCAAAATATTTTATATGTTTCCTTAAGAATGAAACATTTTCCAGTAAAATATTTATTCTTATTTCCTCTGATTTTCAGTACTAAAGCTTGTGTTGAATAGGACTTGAAAACATTGCTCATTCATTTAACAAGAATTTACGGAGTATCTGCAACGTGAATGCTCTGGGACATATTCAGAAATAAATAACTAGTTCCTGCCCTTCAATGAGCTTGCAGTATTTCAAGCAAAAATTACACAGCTCCTTCCAAAAAGCACAATTTGTTAGAGATTTAAGTGGTTCTCTCATATTTTAGAGGACACAGATAATACTTAATTTCTTAGTATAAGTTCATAATTTCCAAAGTAATTTTTAAAACACTGTACCTTTTTAATATTATTGATTAAATGGTATATGATATGTTTGAGGAGGGGAAAAGGCAAATAAATAATAGGCTTACGTTTCTTATTTTAATGTAGTATTTCTTTTTTGTTCAGGTCTTAATTCTGTTTAAATTAATTCTTCTTGAAAAAAAGGTGAGATTTGAGGGGATGGAATATTTAACATTTATTGACATTTCTTAAATACTATATAAAATTAAAACTAATGACAAAGTGTAAATTAACTATTTTGTGTGTCACATTGTGGTGAGCTGAAGTGCATACCCTTGTGCATTATCCTAGAAGTATAACTCATGCCGTCTTTTCTGGGGGCTGTTTGCCCATGTTCAGTTCTGTTTCAGTTCTTTGGGGTATATGTCCAGAAGGGGTATTGCTGGATCATATGATAGTTTCTTTTTTTGTTGTTTTGTTTTGTTTTTTTGTTTTGTTAATCCTCACCCAAGGATATTTTTCCATTGATTTTTTTTTTTCTTTTTAGATAAACTGAAGGGAGGGAGGGAGAGAGAGACAGAGAGGAGACTAGTTGTCTCCTGCATGACCCCGACCTGGGCTGGGGATCGAACCTGCAACCCAGGTACATGCCCTTGACCAGGAATTGAACTAGAGACCCTTTGGTATACAAACCAACGCTCTAACCACCAAGCCAAACCAGCCAGTGCGGTGGTTCGGTTTTATTTTTGAAAAACTACTATACTGGTTTCCATAACAGCTACACCATTTTACATTCTTATCAACAGAGCACAAGGGTTCTGATTTCTCCACATCTTCATCAATATTTGTTATTTTCTGTTTTTTTATACTAACCATGCATGATACTGCTTTATATATGTTCATTCCCACCCCCCGAATCAAAATAATTTTAAAGTAATTTGTAGACATCATGGTATCCCTGAATACGAATACTTGAGGATATATTTCTTCAGAATAAGGGCATATGCCTACATAACCAAAATACCATTTTCACATTCAAGAAACTTAACAAGAATACAGTAAATGACACCTGATATCAAAGTCCATTTTTAAATTTCCCTATGTCATAATAATGTCTTATAATTTTTAAAATATGGGGACGAAGGTGGTGGTGTGTCCACATCAAGAGGCCTATAACTACTGTTATTGGTGATGTGAAGTGTTTTTGTTTGTTTTTTTTTATCCTCTCCCGAGGACATTTTTCCATTTTTTGTTCAGGTAGAGTGGGAGGGAGAGAGAGGAACAGAGAGAGAGAGAGAGAAACATCGACGTGAAAGGGACACATCGAGCGGCTGCCACCCGCATGACCAACCAGGGCCGGGACAAACTGCAACCGAGGTACGCGCCCTTGGCGGGAACCGAACTCGGGTCTCTCGGGACCGCAGGCCGATACTCTAACCGCTGAGCCAAACCGGCCAGGGCGATAATGTGAAGTTTAATTGTTTGATTAAGATGGTGGTTGCCAGAGTTATTCATATTGAGGTACTTGGTTTTCCCTTGTAATTAACAGGTTATCTGTGGGGTGACACATTCGCATCTGTGTGACTATCCACTTGCCCAGCAACCCATCATAATAGTTTTAGCATCCACTGGTAATTTTTACCTGAATTATGATGGATACTTGGTGATTTTCTAATTCTTTCATTAATTCTATGCTTATCTGTTATTCTTCTGTAAAGAAGAGTTTTTCCCTCTTCCCCTCTTTTTCTTGTTTTTTTTTTTAAGTATCATTGTGGACTCGGATTTTCTAATTTGATTTTCATTGACTCCATTCAGGTCCTCTTCTATGTTTCCCCCGTGAGTAAGTTGGTGGGTGCCCTGATGACCGTGTTATCCCTTTTTCCAGGTAAGAGGGTAGCAGTATCTACTCTTTCTTTTTTTTAACTTATGCTGGGAATTTCCATGATAAAAGTGTTCAAGGATAAACTTATTAGGGTTAACATTTCTATTTTAATATGACATTTTTGTTTTGGTGATAGGTTTTTTGTTTTTCATTTTGTCTTTGAGCTTTTCATTATGTTTCATGGGAATGTATGCAAGCATAGCTTATTAACACTTTAATAGGAGAGTTCTGCTATTTAGAACAGAATATACAACTCCTGTTTTCTTCCACTTCATTATAAACCAAGCTGTCGTCTACTATCTTTTGTTTTAGGCATGATCGAACATGGTCTCAGTGACTGTTCTCAGTACAGACCCCGAAAAAGTATGTCTGAAGAGGCTGGGCTTCAGGAAAATAACCCTCCTGCAGATAATTTTGTTTCTGTGTCTGCTCCTAACATTTCACATACCAACTTGGAAACTGTCAAGAAAATCATGGCAGGAAACCATGGAGGAGATGCTGCCATCAAGACTGAAGAACCTTTGTTCCCAGCAGAAGACAGCAGCAAAAGACAGGAACTCGGTGACACCAACCCCTATTTGAAACCTCCTTCTCGTCCATCTCCAGAGTCTTCAGAAAGTGACTGGGAGACCTTGGATCCTGGTGTCTTAGAGGACCCCACCTCGAAAGAAAGGGAGCAGGTGGGGTCAGAACAGACAAACTCTTTTCCAAAGGAGTCAGTGCCCTCGGACAGTCCTCCAATTACTGTGCAACCTCAAGCTAACGTGGGCCAGGTGGTCCTGATCCCAGGGCTCATTTCCGGTCTGGAAGAGGACCAGTATGGCATGCCCCTGGCCATCTTCACAAAGGTAAAATGTATTGTCCTTAAAGAATCTGACAGCTGTTAGTGTTGCACACATTTTCAGATCTGCAAATTTTCCTTGAAAAGTGAAATACATACCAAATGTGTAGTGTAAGACTATAGGGAATTAATTCAGGTGGTTTTGATTAGAAAGAATTTGGAAACTTACATGGAGTCAGCCGTCACTGAATTGGGTCTGCTTTTAATCATTCAGGTTTATCTTCGCAAAAAAGATGAAATTCTGAACAGTCTTGATTACACTTAATATATATCAAATATTACAATTCCAAAAGCTATAATTTTATAAGGAAAAACTGCATAGATGGCTAACATAAACATTAGTATACCTCATAGATATAATACGGTATTTTGGTTATTTGCCCGTAAAACTATTTTTTAATTTTTTTTTATGAAAAACCATTCAAAATGTATTTGTAATTTTTAAAACTTATTTTTTTATTTTTTTTTATTTTTTTTATTCTCACCCGAGGACATTTTTTGTTCAGGTAGAGTGGGAGGGAGAGAGAAGAAGTGAGAGAAACATCGATGTGAAAGGGACACATCGAGTGGCTGCCACCCGCACAACCGACCAGGGCCGGGGACAAACTGCAACCGAGGTACGCGCCCTTAGCGGGCACCGAACCTGGGTCTCTCGGGACCGCAGGCTGATGCTCTAACTGCTGAGCCAAACCGGCCAGGGCTAAAATTTATTTTTATAATTTTTAAATAACTAGCCCTGGCCGGTTTGGCTCAGCGTTTAGAGCATCAGCCTGTGGACCAGATAGTCCCAGGTTCGGTGCCCGCTAAGGGCACGTACCTCGGTTGCAGTTTGTCCCCAGCCCTGGTTGGGATCGTGTGGGAGGCAGCCAGTTGATGTGTCTCTCTCACGTCAATGTTTCTCTCTCTCTCCTCTTCTCTCCCTCCTGCTCCATCTGAAGATAAATGCAAAAATGTCCTCGGGTGAAGATAAAAAAAATAAACACAACATAGTACGTCCGATTCGATCTTTGATTCAAGATCTAATGTTCCAGGATATCATTTCTTAACGTCAATAATACATTAAGATCCTGGAATCTCCATTTGGATTTTTTTGTTGTTTGTTTTGTTTTGTTTTGTACAGAAAGAACTATTTTATTGCCATTCTTGAATTATTTTTCAAACTGGAGCAGAAAAAAAGTAATTCATTTAATTTCTTAGCCAACAAGTATTTATTGCCTTCCTTTGCATCAGGCACCCTCCTAGGTTCTAAATCCTTTCATCCATGATCTTGTCGTCTACCACGAAAGGACAGATACATCTTTTCAGTAACTAGAGGGAGGAAGGACGGATACTGTAGACTTGGACTTGTATTTCTTCCTCTATCATACTCTACCATAAATCTTTCCTGTGTTTATCCAGCCTTACAAATAGGTACTTGTCCCGAGTCAGTATTGCCGAATAGTTAACAGAGAATGCCGTCTTTGTTCATTCTGTGGCCTGGTGGAGGACCCTGAAATTATCTTGATTGGTTTCATAATTAAACTGATGCAGTTTCTTACAAGTAGGATTTAGGAACCTGGGGGGAAAACTCCGCGCTCTCAGTGACTGGGAATAGTCAGCAGCCACGGATGTGGGTTTTCTGAGCGCACGTGTGGGAGTCCCGACTGCCTGTCCTCTGCGGAGCCCTTGCTCCACCTGCCCAGCTCTCACTGTAGTCACCGTGGGGATATCAAGAGGGAGATTAACAGGGGAGGGACTTTGTTTCTGTCTGTGAGGTTGCTGGGTGGAACAGAGCATCGTAAACATGCATTGTGTGCACTCAGTGAACCGCGGTTCCGGAATGTTCTATTTGTATGCATTGTACCACTTGCCTCCATCATTATGGTGAAGAAAACTGTCTTCATTTTGGTTTTATGTTTTATTATGTACTGATTAAAATCTAATTTGCTCTGGAGTCACATTTTTAAATACAAATGCTGATTCTTTAATGGTAAGTTTGGAATAGTTTGGAAAATGAAATACTCTTTTTTTGTTTTATTTTTTCTTTTTTCTTTATTTTTTCTTTATTGATTTTAGATAGAGAGGAAGATGGAAACATCGATGAGAGAGAACATCAATTGGCCATGTCCTGTATACCTGCCTGGGGACCAGGCTCACAACCTGGGCATGTGCTCTGACCAGGAATTGAACCGGCAGCCTCTTGGTGCATGGGTTGACGCTCAACCACTGAGCCACACCGGCTGGGCTATTTTTTGTTTTTTATTAATCCTCATCTGAGGATACTTTTCCACTGATTTTTAGAGAGCGAGAGAGAGACATTGATTGGTTGCCTCCCACATGATCCCAACCAGGGCTGGAGATCGAACCTGCAACCCAGGTACATGCCCTTGACCTCGGGAATCAAACCTGCAACCCTTCTGTCCTCAGGTACCACTAAACAAAACAGGCCAGGGCTGAAATGTTCTTAAAAATGACTTGTCTTGCCCTGGCCGGTTTGGCTCAGCGGTTAGAGCGTCGGCCTGTGGTCCAGAGAGACCTGGGTTTGGTTCCCGCTAAGGACACGTACCTCAGTTGCAATTTGTCCCCGCCCTGGTTGGTCGTGCGGGTGGGAGCCACTCGATGTGTCCCTTTCACATCGATATTTCTCTCTCTCTCTCTCTCCCTCCCACTCTGTCTGAACAAAAAATGTCCTCGGGTGAGGATAAAAAAAAAAGTGACTTGTTTTCAGGCTCTTTTTCTCTTGAAGATCTTATAATCTTGTACCAAACAATTAGGTTAGTGAAACATCTTGAAAAGTAATTTCAAAAATAGCCGGAGAGCAGCTTGGCCGCCTGGGGAGTATCGCTGAAGTAGGATGGTGAGCTTTGAAAAGAAGAAGCTGACTGGCCTCCTGGCTCAGCACATGAGTATAGGGAAAGAAATTTCTACATAATGAAACAGTTTTGTCCGTCCCTGCGGCTCCCTGGCACTTGAGATCGCCTGAGGATGATGCCTTTGGCGGGTCTTAGAGATTGGGCTTACTGTATAAATGCAGAGAGCCGGTTCTGAAATGTGCTCGAGCCGTCCCCGACAGCTGCTTTAGGAAGTGTGAGGAAGATGTGGGTGCCGAGGGAGAGGAGGTGGCCTGGAGGCAGCTTTCAGGGTTTCTACAGTGGCTGTGACAATTTCCATTCCCACAGCCCTGTGTCAGAGTTCCCCGGGCTCCCCATTCTCACCAGCACCTGGCACTGCCCGTGTTTCGCCAATCTGATGGGCTCGTTAGCTCCTAGTCTGTGTTTTTTTCAGTGGTCACGCTGAAGTAGCGTCTTCTCCTATTCTGGCTACACTGGACTTCCCTCTGTATAGTATTTGTTCAAAGCCCTGGACTGTCTCCCTGATCACTGGACTGTCATCACTGATTTGTGGCACATCATGTATTCTAGGCACCTTCTCTGTTTATCAGTTGTTTATTTTATGGTTAGTGCTTTCGGGTCTTATTTAAGAAATAGTCCCCTACCTCAAGATCATAAAAACAATCTCCTAAATTATCTTTATAGTTTTGACTTTCATGCTTTGGCTTTTACCTACCTGGAATTAATTTTTCTGTATGGCCGAGAAAGGGAGTCTGTTTCTGGACTTTCTGTTGTCCCACTGGTGTGTTTGTCTACCCTGGGGCGGTCCCACACTGTTCACTACCGTGTGTGTCATTTCAGGTGGAGAAAAGGCTTCCCCTCTTGTTCTTCAACAGTTTCTTAGCTCTACAGTCAGAGAAAGACAAACACCATATGATTTCACTTCCATGTGGAATCTCATGAACAAAACAAACCAACAAACAAAATAGAAACAGATTCATAGATACAAAGAACAGACTGACAACTGTCAGAGGGGAGGGGGTTGGGGGCTGAGTGAAAAGATGAAAGGATTGAGCAAAAAGAAACCTCACAGACACAAACAATGGTATGGTGATGACCAGAGGAGAGGGGAGTGGAGGGCTGGTAGAAGAGGAAAGTGGGGGTAAATGGTGACGGAAGAAGACTCGACTTGGGGTGGTGAACACACAAAATCAATATACAGATGGTATATTATAGAATTGTATACCTGAAACCTATATAAGTTTAACCAATGTCACTCCAATAAAGTCAATAAAAATTTTTACATAGTTAGCTGGCGTGGCTTACTGATCGAGCGTCGACCCATGCACCAACAGGTCGCCTGTTCGATTCCTGGTCAGGGCACATGCCCAGGTTGTGGGCCCGATTCCCCCCCCCCCCCCGCCCCCGCCTTTTTCCACTCTTGTCTGTGTCCATTGGTTATGCATATAAGTTCTTTGGTTTATTTCCTCCCACCTCCCAACCCCCTTCTCTTTGAGGTTTGTCATTCTAGCAACCAATTTGTTCTTCTTAATCCCTTCAACTTTTTCGCACATTCCCCCCAACCCCCCTCCCATCTGGCAACCAACAAAATATTCTCTGTATCTATGAGATTGTTTCTGTTCTGCCTGTTCATTTTCTTTGTAGATTCAATTGTCGATAGATATGTATTCATTGCCATTTTGTTTGTTCATATATTTTATCTTTTTCTTCAAAAAGACCCTTCAACATTTCATATAGTAACGGTTTAGTGGTGAACTCCTTTAGCTTTTTCTTGTCTGGGAAAGTCTTTATATGTCCATCGATTCTAAATGACAGCTTTGCAGGATAGAGTAATCTTGGTTGTAGGGTCTTGCTTTTCATCACTCTATTTCTTGCCATTCCCTTCTGGCCTGCAGTTTCTTTTGAGAAATCAGCTGACAGTCTTATGGGAACTCCCTTGTAGGTAATTAACTGCTTTTCTCTTGCTGCTTTTAAGATTCTCTCTTTGTCTTGAACCTTTTGCATTTTGATGATGATGTGTCTCGGTGTGGACCTCTTGGGGTTCATCTTGTTTGGGACTCTCTGTGCTTCCTGGACTTGTATGTCTTTTTCCTTCACCAAGTTAGGGAAGTTTTCTGCCATTATTGTTTCAAAGAGGTTTTCGATTTCTTGTTCCCTCTCTTCTCCTTCTGGCACCCCCAAGATGCGAATGTTGGCACGCTTGAAGTTGTCCCAGAGGCTCCTTACACTATCCTCTTTTTTTTTTTTGGACTCTTTTCTCTTTTTGCTGTTCTGATGGGTGTTTTTTGCTTCCTTATATTCCAAATCGATGGTTTGCTTCTTGGCTTTACCTTCTCTACTATTGAATCTGTGTAAATTATTCTTTATTTCAGTTAGTGCCTCCTTCAATTCTGACTGTGTATCCATGATTTCTGACTGGTCCTTTTTTATGCTCTTGAGGCCCTCACTAAGTTCGCTGAGGTTCTCACTAAGTTCATTGAGCATCCTTATAAGCAGTATTTTGAACTCAGCATCTGTTAGGTTGCTTATCTCCATTTCACTTAGTTCTTTTCTTGGGGTTTTGTTCTGTTCTTTCATTTGGGACCTGTTTCTTTGTCTCCTCATTTTGGCTGCCTCCCTGTGTTTGTTTCTGTGTATTACTTAACGAGAGGTATGGGGCTAGCTGAGACCAGATGCTGCTTTTTTGAAAGAATTTAGAAAAAACCTGAAGCAGGATCCAAGACAGGCCAATCCTATAGGTAAAGCAAGTGGCAACAGCTTGGGTGGGCCTGAAAGTTGGGCGGGGCGGGGCCTCAGGGAGTCACCAGGGCGGGGCTCCCAGTGTGAGCCAGGTTGCTGGAGTCCCGGATATGGCTTCTGTCTGCCGCCCCAGGGAAGGGCTCACCAAGGGAACAAAGGCCTCTGACAGCACGTCTGTCCCGGAGAAAGCCCCCTCTCCAGCCCTCGCTCCAGTGCCAAACAGCTCAGTTCTTCCCTGTATGTCTCTGGTGCCCCTCGAGCTGCCGCCCCTCTAGCTGCCTCCCCTCCAAGCTCAGAGGGAGAGAGTCCGATAAGTCCGTGTGCGGGCCCTTTAAGGAGCTGCCTGGGGCTCCAGCCGCCTCAGCCTCCCTGAGCCTCAGTTCCCGCTGGTTTTCCAGTCAGAAGTGATGGGGATTCTCTTCCTGGCACTGGAACCTTGAGCGGGGCACCTGGTGTGGGACAGGGACCCCTCAGTCCTCAGGGAGGACCTTCCCAGCCGCCGGAGCCTCCTGATTTTTATCCGCCACACGTGGGTGTGGGACCAGCCCGTCCCCTCCACCCCTCCTACCAGTCTGGATGTGGCCGCTGCTTTAATTCCGTAGTTGTAGGACTTCCGTTCAGCTCGATGTCAGGCGGTTCTGAAGGATGGTTGTTCTGTAGTTTAGTTGTAACTTTGATGTGGTTGTGGGAGGACAGATACCACGTTTACCTCCCCGCCATCCTGACCGGAAGTCATCAAAAATTTTTAATAAAATTATACTAACAAAAAGTGTTTCTTAGCTCTTAGCATTTGATTAAATTGATCAGTTTTTGGATCAACTTGAGTTCTCACACAGGTTGAGATTTTGATAGGGATTGCCTTTAAACTCTAGATAAATTTTGGGGAGAACGGGCATCCCTGTAATACAGAGGCTTTTGATTCAAGAGCTCACTTATCATCGTCCCTGACCAGAGACGAGATGAGAAATGGCTTTGGCCCTAATGAGATTGTAGCCCTTTCTAAGTCACAGGGGGAAGGAGGGCACATGCGTCTTTGCAGACCAGCCCTCGGCAGTCCTCCCCGGTTTGCCAAGCTGGAGTGTGTGTGTCTGGTGAGGGGTGGAGGAAGAGGTTGTTCATCTGTGTTTTTAATTATGGTAAAAAAAACACAGACTTCTTTGTCTTTACTGTTTTTAGTTTACAGTTCACTGGTGTTAAGTTATGGTCACATTGTTGTGCTACAGATCTCCAGAACTTTTTCATCTTGCAAAACTGAAAGTCTATACCCATTAAACACCAACTCCCATTCTCTCCTCACCCCCGCCTCTGGCAACCCCCTTCTTTCTGTCTCTGTAAATTTGACTTCTTTAACCTTATATAAGTGGGATCATAGAAAATTTATCTTTTCGTGACTCCTTTATTTCCTTCCTTTTTAAGGCTGAATCATATTCCATTGAATGTGTATATCACATTTTATCCATTTATCCTGTGATGGACATTTGGACACTCTGTGCTTTGGCTATTGTGAATATTGCTGCTATAAACATGGGTGTGCAAATATCTTTTCAACTTTCTTTTTATCATTATATATTGCAGCTCCAAGCCTGGAAGTTAAAGAACCCTAGAAAATGGAGAACTGGGTGGGATGGGCTTGGCCAAAGAGGCTGCATTATGTGAAAGGACCCGTGTTCTTACTGCCACTGTGTGAGAGATTTTGGCTCATTTGATCATCATTAAAAAAATAAGTAATGCTGGCAAAAATGTGAAGCTATTTTGAACTAGTATTTTAAATAATTTTATAAATATATAATATTTTGCCCTGGCCAGTTTGGCTCAGCGGTTAGAGCGTCGGCCTGCGGTCCAGAGAGACCCGGGTTCGGTTCCCGCTAAGGGCACGTACTTCGGTTGCAGTTTGTCCCCGGCCCTGGTTGGTCGTGCGGGTGGCAGCCACTCGATGTGTCCCTTCACGTCGATGTTTCTCACTCTCTCTCCCTTCCTCTCTCTCCCTTCCACTCTATCTGTACAAAAAATGGAAAAAATATCCTCGGGTGAGGATAAAAAATATATATATATATATATATATATATATATATAAAATATTTTTACATGGTTCAATATGCAAATAGTTCCAAACATCTGTAATAAGTCTCCCTGTCATTCCGTCATCCCCTTGCTCCTCTGCCCTCTCCAGTGGCAGCCAACATTATCAGTGTGTTCTCTTTCTTTCTAGGGGTGTTTTAGGCATAAATAAATGCATAGATATTTTTCCTTTCGTTCTTACAGAATTGAAGCAGACTAGACCTATTTTTATGCACCTTATTCTTTTTCACAAAATATCCATTGGAAATGAACTCCATCGCTACTTATTGTTGCAGGTGTCTCATGATAGATGACATGTGAAATGATTGGTTAGGATTCCAGGCTTCTGTTGTAATAAACAATGATGCAATAAATAACTTTTTACAAATCTCACACATGAGCAGGTGTATCAGTAGGATAAATTACAAGAAGTAGAATGCTAAATCAAAGAGTATGAATATGTATTTTGTTGTTGTTGCTGTTGGTTCTTTTTTCCCTTGTTTATTTTGACTATGTGTTTTTATGGAATGTATTTTTTCATAGTCTTAAAAAGGTTTGAACTGTTGATTTTTTAAAAACATTCCTCTGAGTTTTCATGAGTTTATAGACTTAGCCAAGACTCCATTGTTGACAATAGACTTTTATTCTCTTACAGTAGAAATTATGAATGTAATACTAAGAGCAATTCTTTTATTACTGTTTTACAATATAAATCTTTTGTAATAATTGACAGTTCTGAGAGTGCCTTTATCAAGGATTCTCAGTTCTAGTGGGGTAGTGACTATTCTGTTTGAAAGCGCATTCAATATTTTAATATTTATGTTTAGAAACAGGTAGTTGCGGGGAGAGGGGAAGCTGTTGTTTTAAAATACGTGTCACATGGAGTAAAGCATGAACCCAGAGCCCTGAACCAGCTCTTGACTGCTTCTGAATGAGGAGCAAGAGTCCTTCCAGCCTTTAGCCACAAGAGGGTGTGGGTGAGAAGCACGTGCCGAGTATCCCTAATACATAGACATGGGCTTCTTTCTGCAGCTATTAGCATTGTATTGAGCAGAAGAAGACACTGTCAAGACTCAGAATGAAACCAAGTTACTAGACCTATATTCCAACTTTTGGAAGCCTTCTCTCCTGTACTAGGCATTTCAGCAACCACCTGTTAGATAGGAGGGGCATCCGAGCTGCCATGAGGAACATGAAGTAGCAAAAGGGACAGCTCCTGCCCTCAGTCTCATCTTGTGACATTAACAAGTCAGCATCCAGGTGACAGTCGTTCTGTGTTTTTGGAACAGTGCTGAGAACACCGTCACAGAACTCGAGCATGAAAACAAGTGCAGGGTTTCGGCAAGCCTGCCCTCCTGGCTTCAGACAGCTCGCCGCCTGCCGAAATCTATCTTGAGTTAGAATTTTTCGGCAAAAATTCCTTGTCCTGCAGCGCACCATTCCAGTGTTAACACCGTCATTCCCAGGAAATACACGTACTCGCCCGCTGTGGTTTGGCAGTTCAGCTCGAATTTTCAGGGCAGTGGTATTTTCAGATACGATGGAAATTAATTAAATGTTCAAGTACTGCCAAGTGTCATTTTTGCTTTAAGCATTTATGAGCGAATATCTTGAAATATTTTTGCATAATTTTTAGCAAGAGGACAAGAAAACATGCTAATGAGTGCCGGGTGTTTCTCATAATAATACACTGGAGGTTGTGTGCAGATGCGGGTGTTGTAAAATTTTACTGGAAGAACTAACAGCTTTCTACTAAACAGCATCCTCTTCAATGGGCTTAATATTTCAGTTCCTAAATGAAAAAGTCCAGCTTGTTAGTTACCGTGAGGGCTTTTAAGTTGAAGCGAGAACAAAGCGAGACGGGGCTGTCCTTCCTGTTAGACTTCCTTGCCGAGGTTGACCATCCATGGAGAAGCCCCGCCCCGAGGGCCCCGGGAATGTTGTGGCAGTGAGTCCACAACCAGCGGGTTCCGGGTGGCGTGCAGGTGGGAAAAAATCGGGAGTTTCTCTCCCTGCGATGAGCTCTCCGGGCTTGAAGGGAGAGGCGATTACTCCACTCCTTTTCTAACGTTCTGTGTCACTCTTGTGATTCTCAGGGATATCTGTGTTTGCCGTACATGGCGTTGCAACAGCATCACCTGCTCTCTGATGTCACCGTTCGGGGATTTGTCGCTGGAGCTACCAACATCCTTTTTCGACAACAGAAACACCTCAGTGATGCCATTGTGGAAGTAGGTTTATGTGTGAGTGCCTGTTCTTGACGCTGCTGGTCCCTGTTTCCCTGTCTGGAATGCAGTTAGGGGGCTCAGTAATAGCACGAATAATTGTGGGAGCTGCTCCCTGCGCCGGGCACTCTAAGCGCCTTAGGTATACTAATTGATCTAATTCGCAAGACAGCCTGTGCAAGAGGCACCATTACTCTCCCTGGTTGATACCTGGGGGGCAAAGGGACAGAGAGATCAAACAGCAAGGATAGAGGGTAAGCCAGGACCCCAACCCGGGCAGACTGGTCCTACTACATACAGTCTCACAATTAAAATGGGCTTATTGTGTAAATGACAAGTATTTCTAGCTTGTTTAATATGCTTCTGATCTTTAGAGCAAGGAGCTAGAGATAAATATTTGACATCTTTTTAGTATATAAGAAATTTAAAGCCCTGGCCAGTTTGGCTCAGTGGTTAGAGCGTCGACCTGCGGTCCTGAGAGACCCGGGTTCGGTTCCCGCTAAGGGCGCGTACCTCGGTTGCAGTTTGTTCCCAGCCCTGGTCGTTCATGCGGGTGGCAGCCACTCGATGCGTTCCTTTCACATCGATGTTTCTCTCTCTCTCTCTCTGTTCCTCTCTCTCCCTCCCACTCTACCTGAACAAAAAAAAAAAAGGGAAATTGTCCTCGGGTGAGGATAAAAAAAAAAAAGAAAGAAATTTAAATCATTTGTTCAACTTTATAATTGAAGTAATTTGAAAGGGGGCAGGGGAGGAGTTCAGCTACCCTAAGGTTGTTAGAAAGTATGGAAACATGCTTCCTGGGAAATGTTTATAATACGTAAATGAAAAATCTGGGGTTCAAAGCTTTAGGTAGTATGATCCCTATTTTGAGGAGGAAAAATATATACAGACCTTCCAAGGCAGAAGGATACAGATGGGAGGACCACAGAGTCTCTGCAACAGTACTGGTTACATTGTAGTTCTGAAGTCCGGTGGCAGATACATAGGTATTTGTTTTATAATGCTTGCAAGCTATCTCCTAAGTTACATATGCTTCTTTGCATTTCAAATATCACGTAATAAAAATATTACAGCATATCTGTGCACTCAATGGACAAAAATTTAGGAACTCTCCTTAATTGTATTCATTTCTGGCTGTGTGTTAAAGGTGATACTATATATATTTCTATATTTTCCAAAATATGTGCAATAAACATGAGTTACTTTTATAATTCAAAATTAAATACTTATACGTATATTTTCTGAAAATAGAAAACAAGTGTTTTTTAAATAAAGAAAAACCCTTGAGTGGAAACACTGTCTCTTTCTTAGACTCACCTTTTGAGAATGCCGTTATTCACATTTTTACTTCCAGCTCCAACTTCCCAGTAGGTACTCGTTAAAGTGTGGCATGGATACCTGCTGAATGGCCAGATGCTGACTTGTCCCTGGTACCCTCTAGGTAGAAGAAGCTCTGGTCCAGATCCATGATCCAGAACTCAGGAAGCTGCTCAGCCCCACCACTGCAGACCTCAGGTTCGCAGACTACCTGGTGAAGCACGTGACTGAGAACCGGGACGATGTCTTCCTGGATGGCACGGGCTGGGAGGGGGGTGACGAATGGATCCGAGCCCAGTTTGCAGTCTACATCCATGCACTGCTGGCCGCCACGCTGCAGTTAGGTAAGGTGCATGCAGCCACTTCGTTGTGTAATCATTGTAACATTTTCATTACGGAAAAATGGTTAAAGTGGAGCAGGTAAGCACTGTATAAAAACTATCTCATTCCCCATAGAAAAAGTGTAAAAGACAAAGTGAAGCTCTTTAATGAGCTCTTGTACCAGGGACACCTGCCACCTGGACATTCGGCAGATAGTTGATAGATTTGGTGCCGTGGTTGTTCAAAGAGTGTTGAGCTTTTGTGTTTTCTCCCTCCCCCACCCCAATGATTTCTACCACTGCTTGGGGTTTTTTTTGTGATGCACACGTAACCTAAAGTTTACCATCTTCACCATTTCTAAGTGATAGTTCCACAGGGGCACAGGGTATATTCACACTGTTGTGTCAGCAGGTTTTTTAAATCGACTCACCCCTACCACCTGCCAGGTTAGTTCTTCACGAGTGTATGGAGCTTACACCCAGGCTCGGCGTGTACTTCATTGGTACAGGAAGGCTACAGAGCAAATTCTTTGTCAGTGGGATGTTTTTACATGTCTGCCTCTTCTACAGATGTAACAGCTGAAACACCAAAATCCAGTCCTGTCCCCCAGAATCAAGCAGTCATCTCGTTAGAAAACCCCAGTTCCCACCAGTCACGTAGCTTCAGGAGTGATTCGTTTACCTTCAAAAAAGGGTTTGCCCAGGTAGCTGTAAGAACTGAGTGATAGTAGTTTTTTTTGTTGTTGTTTTTTTGGTAGGGGAGCACATTTAGTGTGTGCAGGGACCTGTTTTGAGCATCTCACATCTGCTAACCCGCGTCATCCTCACACAGTCCTGGAGGTAGATACCTCGCCACCTCCTTTCACAGAAGGAAAAGTAAGACACAGAAAGGTGATTTAACAGCGTGCTCATCCCCTGAGCTGGTGTTTAAGCCCACAGAGTCCGGCTCAGTTCTGTGCTGCTGCAGGAGATTCAGCTCGAGGCCCTGTTTGGGGAATATGTTCTTTTTTTTTTTTTTTTTTTTTTTTATCCTCACCCGAGGATATTTTTCCATTTTTTGTACAGATAGAGGGGGAGGGAGAGAGAGAGAGAGAGTGAGAAACATCGACGTGAAGGGACACATCGAGTGGCTGCCACCCGCACGACCAACCAGGGCCGGGGACAAACTGCAACCGAAGTACGTGCCCTTAGCGGGAACCGAACCCGGGTCTCTCCGGACCGCAGGCCGACGCTCTAACCACTGAGCCAAACTGGCCAGGGCGGGGAATATGTTCTTAAAAGAACTTCCCTGTGCAGCACGTGGAACCATGTGTGTCCTTCTGTTCCTTCCCCAGCAACAAACGGCCCCTTTCACCTTCAGAGCCAGGGACTTGCGATTGGATAGGAAGCAGCAGCTGCTGGGGTCAGTTCTCCAGCCCCCTCTGTTCTTCCAAGTGGAAGAAACACCTCATCGAAACTTCCCCATGATACTGATACAGCCGGAAAGTGCATAGAAACTCTAGAGTGAGTTTCAGCAAATAGTGAGACTCCAAGAAGAGAAAATAGTGGCTAAAAGAACCAATTCCTATATTCATTGTAATGTTTTTCTTAGGAAAAATGACATCTGTGAAAAGATGAAAGATGCCTTACTTGCCTACTCCCTATGTAAGCATCAGAACATTGTCTCGCTGCCCAGCCTGTCGTTTGGTCTCATAAACAATACTGTGCCTCCTAACGGTGAGGAGCACGTGGCCGGGTCTTGGAGTGTAAGGAGCCTTGAACAGTCTCTGGGTGCACGCTTTTCTTTTCCAGTTGGGAAAATGAAGTTCTCAGTGATTAAATGACTTGCCAAAGGCCACGTAGCTTCTTAACGGGACATTTGTAGCGAGGTCCAACATCTGGCAGACCACCTCCCCCCAGAAAGCAGAGGGGCGGAAGGGTTGAAACGATTCTTACCCTTCTTGGTTGTTCATCCTCACACCCTTGACTGGCTACAGTCCAGCTCAACTTTCAAATATTTACTTGACAGATAATGAGAAGATCCTCTCGGACTATGGGACAACCTTTGTCACAGCGTGGAAGAACACTCACAACTACAGGGTCTGGAACAGCAACAAGCGCCCGGCGCTCGCGGAGATAAATCCGAAGTAAGCACATGCCCCGAAGACCCAGGGACAGGGTAAAAATGGTTCTTCCCTCCTGTGCCCAATACAACGAAAGTCCTCTCCTAACTTGGATGATATTGTGCATACCTTCAAGAATCTCCTAAAGTAGATGATAAAAGGCCCCCAAATACGTAGAGGCAGCTGAAAACTGTTCCCCATTCACACTTCTTACACAAAAAACACAAAGCATCTTTAGAAGCCTGAACATGTCTCCCAGCCCTCGGGGGGATTCAGACAGGAAGTGCTGGCCACGCGGGCTCAGGGCGGCTGGGCCTTCTCCCCTCCCCCTGGGCCTGCCCTGTAGCAGATGGTCAGACAAGGTGGCAGTGACCACGGGTTCGACTGAGAGGGTAATTTTATAGCACAAAAAACTAACATTGACATTTGAACTTCTAGATGTGCGGCCAAACCTAGCTTCCACACCAGATTCTAAAACCCAACAAAATGGGATTCCATCTAAGCCCCACTCCTGACTGCTGACTGGACAGACGGGCATAGACATTCGAACGTGCTGTGGAGGCGCCGGGGGAAGAGCCGGCTGTGTGAAGGGGGCGGCGCAGTCAGGAGATGAGCTCACACAGTGTGTGCAGCTGGGCCTTACTGTTTCTCAATTAAAAGTCCAAAACGAGGGGGGGTTATGATACAAGCACACACAGAATGTGTTCACTTGCATTTTAAACTTGCACTTCTTGGTGGGAATCGGACAGAGACCGACTTTTGTACTGGCTCCCGTGTAGTTTGGAAGCTGGACGGGGGTGTGGTGATGCCACTGAAGAGGACAGTCCCTCCCACAGAGAACCCAGGTGCTCACGTCATAGACCTTGGGAGCATCTACAAGAGTGAGGTGGTGGGGCGGGGCTGTGGAGAGCATGTCTGTTATCCTCTATATCATCTAACAACAGAAATGAGGTTCAGCACCGGTTTGGGTGAATTCAGTCATCCTGCCGGCCTATAGCAGAAACCTATATTGCCATTTGAATGTGGTGAAAACAGAATTAAAGGGCAAAAACATGTTAATAGCATTAAATGAGAGGGCTAAGAGTTCAAAGTCTTCTCCCTCACTAACCACAAGGTCTGTATTCTAAAGAGTGAGGAAGAGAAACAGATGTGAGTCTGTCTGCCGATGGCATTTCTGTGGCAGTGTTGGGGGGAGGGTGGGTCCGCACGATCAACCATGGTGCAGCGTGGGGGACCATCCCATCTCTTCCCCGTGGCCCCCGTAACCTGCTCGATCTTTATCCAGCCACCTCTGCTGCGGTGCCTTTAACTTCAACCAGCCCTACAGATTTTGTCTCAAGTCCATGAGAGGCTTAGCTGGAATCAGTTTTTAAAGATTATAAATTATTACTTTCTAAAATCTAAATAAGCTGAGGCTCTTTAGACTGAGAGAGCCCTGAAAAGGCCCCTGAAATATACATGTAGGGAATTTATGCAGATGAGACAGCAAGTTTCCGTATTTGCCCCAAATTTAAAACAAGAAATGATAGCTTTCATTGTTATCAGGGTGTATACTTTAGAAATACTCCACACTAATCATAAGATCTGAGTTCTGCAGAAGCCTTTCTTCAGTTCCAGATCAGAGGAGGCAGCCCTCCGACCTCCCTTAATAAGCATCCTTAAACATGGCTTTTCCAGGAAAACCCAGAATAATGAAGTAAGCTGTCCGTTCTTTCAGCCTGTGATCCAGGAACCCAGAGACAAAGAGAAGTTATGCATATGCTTCATATACACAATAAAAAAAATTGCCATCTGAAAAGCCGTAACTGGCATTTGGATGTTTTCCTAATTTGCTATAGATTTGTCCAGGGTCTTTGTTAGACATTGGCAGAGAGACCCCTGAGAGTAAGATGAGAATTGGGATATTTATTGACTCCTTTCAAAGTGCAACTGTGTTTGAGTTGCCTGATTTTGCATATATATAATTTTTGCCTTTTGTTTATTTTTAAGATCTGCATTTTGAGTTGCTTTTCTAACAGAAAGTGCAGATTATACGGATCTGCCTACAGATCTTTAAAGTGTCTATAGGAAGTCAGAATCAGGTACAGCCATGGCCATGGCCTAGGTCACGGGCTCTAACCTTGAGTGTCCTAGGAGCTTTTTTAAAAAAGCTGATGCTTGAGCCCCACCCCAAGCATCAACATTAACTCAAACCCCACACACACACATACCCTAAGAAAAACACCTATTTCACAGGGGAGGTAACAAGCTCAGAAAGGCTCCCCTAACTGCAAGTGGGGAGCTGGGAGCAAAGCCCAGTGGACCGTATTTTCAGGAGCCCCCCAGCCTGCGAGCCCCCCCTCGGAGTTCACTGATGCTCCCGTGGTAACTGCTTTGCGGCCTCGCTGGTGACACGCAGTCTAAGCTCCAGCTCTGTTTTGCAGCCACCCTTTTCAAGGCCAGTACTCGGTGTCGGACATGAAGCTGCGATTCTCCCAGTGAGTATTTCGAGAAAATACTAGGGAAATGCTTGCGTCTGAATTCATGCCATGTGTTCCGCTGCTAATTGGGGATTGTTGTACTGCACTTGGTAGACTTGAGCTTCAGAGAGCAACCAAACATGTGCATGGCAGCCTCGAGCTCAGCCGTGGGCAGGTTTCAAAGCGCAAACACTGCCGTTTCCTGAAGAGTGGTGTGAACTAATAGCAGGATTTGCCATTTTTATTCTGGTGAAGTGACTTCAGCAAATCATGACTGTAGGGAGAGTGTATCCTTATGTCTGTACCTCTTGGTTCATCTGCATGTTCTTTTAGTATTTGAAAATTCACATGCTTAAAAGGTTAGTACATGAACTGATACATAACAAACAATGAATAATTTAGCTTCTTTTCTCAATAGTTCTCTTTTGGGGGATGGTTATAGAGTGGAGTGTGTGTGTGAGAGAGAAATTTTTTCAAATTGTATTTAACACTTCTTTCCTTTACTCAGTTCTGTTCAAAACAGTGAACGTGGCAAAAAAATTGGAAACGTCATGGTCACAACCAGCCGGAATGTTGTCCAAACAGGAAAAGCTGTTGGTAAGGCACACCTTTAGCCAAGAACACATTGGACTCGTAACACATCTCCTCTGTATTCTTAGTATGCCACTGATAAAAATGTAAAGTTGTAGAGGTCTGTGTACAGCATAATAATACAAATAAGTCCTATAGTTGAATATAGGGGTTTGTTTGTTGTTATTATTGTTTTAAATGTTGTCTTATTTGCTTTTTTTAAAATGTGGCAACAAATAATATCACGGTTGAGCAAACTTTGCCACATCTCATGGGGAGTGACAGATCTTCTGATGAGTTCACTGTTCTGCCAGGTTTCACACTTCACTGGGGTTCCCCCATTTCCTGATCAGGCCGTAGTTCTTCATAAATAGTAGAGAGGGGACATCACTGTAATCTTACGGAAATTAAAAGGACAATAGGGAATATTATGAATAACTTTATGCCAGGTTTTTTTGTTGTTTTTTAATCCTCACCTGAGGATATTTTTCTATTTATCTTCAGATAGAGCAGGAGGGAGAGAGAGGGAGAGAGAGAGAGGGAGAGAGAGAGAAGCATCAGTGTGAGAGGAACACGCCGATTGGCTGCCTCTTGCCCAACCCGCCCAGGGCTGAGGACCAAACTGCAGCCGAGGTCCGTGCCCTTGACTGGAATTGAACCCACAGCTTTGGTCTGAGGGCCAACGCTCTAACCTCTGAGCCAAACTGGCCAGGGCTTTGTGCCAGTTTTTTGACAACTTAGAAGAAATACACAAATTCTTTGGAAGACTCAATTGCCAAAATGGACTCAATAAGAAACAGAAAATCTGAATAGCCCTATTATCCATTAAATAAATTGAATTAAATATTAAAAACCTTGCCCCAAGGCTTTTAATGTAATCCAAGCCCAGATGGCTTTACCTATGAATTTTATCCGGTGTTTATACAAGTCTTCCGCAAAGTGGTAGATGAGGTCATACTCCCTGGCTCATCCAGTGAGGCCGCTGTGCCCTGCCACCGAAGCCAGACACGCGGTACGCTCACTGTACACGCTTCTGCTCCTGTAGCTTTTTTTTTTAATGTTTTCATTTGTATTTTAGAGAGAGAGGGAGAAACATCGATGAGCAAGAACATCGATTGGCCCCCCGCTGCCTGCCCCCCACTGGGGGTCGGGCCCACAACCTGGGCATGTGCCCTGACCAGGAATCGAACCAGCGATCTCTTGGTGCCTGGGTTGCTGCTCAGCCACTGAGCCACACCGGCCGGGCTCCTGAAGCTTTTTTTACTTAAACTTTTTGAAGATTGTTTCATGTCCATTCTAAGAAATTTCTTGTTCCTTTTCTATATTTTTACCTTTTTATTTTTATATAATTTCAAACTTACAAAAGAGTACACCTGTATACAAGGAACTCCTAACTATCTCAGATTCACCAGTTATTTACGTTTGCTTTCTCACATCAGTATGTATAAAAATAGGGCCCATCTCCTTGCTTAGCTCCTGAGACAGGGTGACTCACCCTTACTGAGTTAATTCAGGTCCAGCCAGTGTGGCTCAGTGGCTGAGCGTCGACCCATGCACCAAGAGGTCGCCGGTTTGATTCCCACTCAGGGCACATGCCCAGGTTGTGGGCCCGATACCCAGTGCGGGGCATACAGGAGGCAGCCAGTCGATGTTCTCTCTCATCGATGTTTTTCTCTCTCCTTCTGACTTCCTCTCTCTGTGTAAAATCAATAAGGGGAAAAAAAGATAAACATAATTCAGTAGCCCCAGATGACCCCTGTGCGGGGGTCCTCGCAGCTCCGACCTCTGGACACCTACAGATAGGCAGGTCTGGGGAGCTCCCTGGAGACTCAGAAGACAGGAGCGTGGAGCCTCTCACCTGGGTCACTGGTACCAGGGAGTGGAATTTGATACGTTAGCATTTTCTTCCATACAACATTATGTCTGACTTATTTTTAATTCTTATTCTTTTTTTATCCTCACTCGAGGACATTTTTCCATTTTTTGTTCAGATAGAGCGGGAGGGAGAGAGAGGAAGAGAGAGAGAGGGAAACATCGATGTGAAAGGGACACATCGAGTGGCTGCCACCCGCACGACCAACCAGGGCCGGGGACAAACTGCAACCGAGGTACGTGCCCTTAGCGGGAACCGAACCTGGGTCTCTCCAGACCGCAGGCGGACGCTCTAACCGCTGAGCCAAACCGGCCAGGGCAATTCTTATTCTTTAATAGAAAAATTCTACTTATGATAGGTATATGATTCAGTTGTCACTTAACTTTCCATGGTGCTGCAGCTGCTGGTACATTCTCAGCGCGGTTCCCTTCGGCATACCCCTCCGAGAACACTGAGTGGGAGCAGGTTCGCTCAGCACCAACCTTTGAGGTGACGCTACACCAAACAGACCTGAGCAGATGAGCTCTGTGCGTCCTCATTTAATGCAACACCGTCTTCGATGACAAGCAGATTGCCCTAAAGCAGCCCCACCGCTGCTATGTGGTTATCAGTTATCAGCTTGGACTTGGAGTACAGAGAGCATGCCAGACTTTTTCAGCTCCCCAAGTGGGTCTGATACACAGCCAGGGCTGGGAGCCCCTGGCCAAGCACGGTGGGTATTAAGGAGAGAGTCTGCTGAGTACCTGCAGAATGCTTGGAGCTGCTAGGCTCTTACACCCAGAAACTGTCCCGTTTCCTACTAGACATTCCCATGGAAAGGGATTGAAACTGGAGATTTAAATGGCATTTCTGTAACTATAAACATATTGCTATGTTACTGTAAATTAACATTTATTCATTAGCGTTGGGCTTTTGCTGTCTCTTACGGAAAGTGAAGGCATTTTTCCTTTTGTTTTTTCCCTCCTCTCCTCCCAGGCCAGTCCGTTGGAGGAGCTCTTTCCAGCGCAAAGACGGCTATGTCTTCATGGCTGTCCACCTTCACCAGCTCCCCGGCCCAGAGTCTCACCGAGCCGCCCAGCGGGAAGCCCTGAGCAGGGGTCAAGAGGCTGCTGTCGCTTTCTTAGGCTGACGTGTCTCCTGTCTGCCTGCTGCTCCCAGACTGTTCCTCCTCATTGGCCACAGGTCCACAGCAGGGACCGACACGTCGAACTGTTTACATGGACGGTCACCCTCTGTCTAAATGAATGTCACAGGACGCTGGAAAGATGAAATCACAACCGTAGCAGGGATGGCTTTCCAGGTCGGGGTTTAAGTTGACTACTTTTATTCAGTCTGAGCCTGATTAAAACAGTGTCCCTTTTAATGATTTTCAAGTTCTGACAGTGTACACTTGTTTACTTTAGGAAAGTTTTGACTTAATGTATATTTTGCTCCCTTTTGCTGTTTAACTAGCTGGACAGTCACTATAATGTATAGTGCTAAAGTTGTTATACCTGTATTTCAGTTTCTCTAAAGTTGGGCCTGAAATGTGCTTATAAAGTTAAGGGGCTGTCCAATCCAGCCCTCTGTTATTATTTTGCTGAGTTACACGATGATTTTTGTTGCTTGGTTTTCTACCTACAAACTGTCGATTCACTTCCTCCGGAAATGTGGGAGTTCTGAGGATGCAGTGTTTTGTTTCCTGTTTAGTTTGTTCCTTCCCAACCCTAAGCACTTGCTGAGGCCTCGAGCAGTGTCGAGTGCTGTCCCTCTCGTTGTCCAGGTAGGGTGCAGAGGACCAGCGGGCTGCCGGCTGCCGGCGCCGGAGCGTTTGGACTGGAACTCGCCTTTAGGGCAGGACTTTGGAAGACCTCGGTGTCGGTTCCGTCCACTCTAGTCGTGTTGCAATCTTTTACAAGCATTGTAAACCCAGCGTGTGTGCCTTGTATTTCTCTTCCATTGGGAGTTTACAGACCTACAGGTTTCCTCTTAGTCTTACTCTCTGTCAGCTTTTCAAGGCGCTTGGCTTTCCCATTTCCCTGATGGAAAATCTTGTCATCAGTCCTGTCTGAAAGTATTTTTAAAAGGAACGCAAGATGATCTGTAAATATTAAATAGAAATCTCCTCTTAGCTCACATTTAGGAAAGCAAGGAGCAAGGACAAGAAAACTACAGCCATGACATCAGTCATGTTTCCTAAAGAGCATCTGGTTTCATTTTAGACACGTGCACAGGTGTGCTGTCTGTGCAGATTTTCCACACCTGCACTCGTGTGTCTGCCATGCTCAGCTGTCATTTGCTTTCCATGGGGACCTGGGATGGGTGTTCTCAGGGAGTGTTTACAGGGGCAGACTGTGCTTTCGGAGAATACGTGGCATAAGCTACCTATGATGTGAAGAGTATTGGGAGGTAAGGGACCTAGTTGAGGAAGACACTTGGTTATATTTGACTTATCCCTTAGGAAATGTTTATGTACATAAATCCTTCTAGGGCATGTGAAATGGTCATAGAACGTAATCTAAACATCCCTAAATTTTCCACTTGTGTTTCAACACAAGCCCCGGAAATCTAAAAGCATAATTCCATTTGACTCGGGGTGGTGAACACACAATACAATATACAGGTGATGGATTATAGAACTGTATATCTGAAACCTAGATAATTTTATTAACCAATGTCACCCCAATAAATTCAATAAAAATTTTAAAAATAAAAGTAAATCAGTAAATAAAGTGTTTTATTATTAAAATAAATAATCCAGTGATGATCAATTAAAGGGCTTATTGTGAAAACTCCATTAATTCCACTTCTGCTGGGAAAGTTGACCTTCTCAGGAACTATTACTTGAAGAGAAGTAAAACCAAACAAATCCTTAAAAGGTACTTGAATCAGAGTTGCACTGAGACTGTGAAGAATCCCTCCTCACGTCTTGTCTCATGAGGCCCCCTCACTGGTCGGAGTGACTGTATTAGCGCGATCGTCCGCTCCCGGCAGGCAGGAGCTCGGGTCCCAGCCGCTGGCTCACCCTCTGGCTCGCAGGGCTGGTGTGATGGGGTCCGCTCCCACCTGTCGCCCGTCCAAAGCAGCCGGTCTGCCTTTGCAGTCGCACGGAAGTGAAGCTAGTTCCTGAGAGCTGACTGCTTTAGCATAACATGTCCCCCTGATGAGTGTAACAATATCCCCCTGAAACGAACTCTCTTTTCATGTTTCTAGTTGAGAGTTCAAAGTAGTCATTTAACTGGCTGGCAGCAGAAAAAGAACATTTCAGAAGATAGAACTTTTGTCACAGAAATGATCAAAAGACCATAGCTCTCTTCCTGCAGGTTCTGGGAGGCGTGGGGTGTTCGGGGAGCAGAGGCTGTGTCGCCAGGCCGGGGGCAGCCGGCACAGCTCAGGCAGGAAGCCTGGCCGCTCGTCCCGTGAGCCTTCGGGCTCGGGTTCCAGGCTCCAGCTGAGGGGCCTCCCTCAGTAGCCTCCCGTCAGTGCCGGGTCGTCTTTGGGCATGTCACTGGTCAAGGGGTGTGTTGCGGTTGGCCATGCTCGCTCTAGTCGTGTGTCTAAGGACCGAGTATCTGTAGGTAGGCCTGGGGGAGCCAGGGTCAGCCAGGCCCTTTCACGGTGCGCCAAGCGCACAGGCTGCGTCTGTGGCTTGCTGGTGACCTCCGTTTGTCTAGGTGACTTAAAAGTCTTGTTTGGGAAAAGTCCCTGGCATACTTTAATTCCTGCTAGGCACTGTAATGCCAGTGACGTAGGTCAGGGAAAAACCAGTTGAAGCTGTGTCTTGGTCTGGGGACTAGAAAAGTTGCATGTCAGAGTAAGGCCGAGTCACTTTACATTTGCATGTGGTTCGTATAACCATTGTGAATAGTCTGTCCCCAAATCCATTAGTCATCTGTTAGCCCCCGAGCCTTAAACAGTCCGGTCTTCTCTTTGCTTTAAGAAACATGGCAGCAATATCCTTGGGCCGCAAACCAGACCTTACGACCTGGTTTCCGTGGCCTCCTCTGGCTTTCCGAGCTCTAGATTAAGCCTTGAGTTGATTTTAGAATAATTTCGTTTGGAAAGGCAAGGAGAAAGCAAAATAGGAAGAGAAGGGAGAAGTGAGAAGCCGCGGAAAGGCCGAGGAGCAAGGTACTTGAAAATCTGGAGGTATTTCGAGAGCAGTATTTACTGTGCTAATGGTCATAAGAATTCTTTTACAAAGAAGTTAACACCTTCATCTGGTAGTGACAAGTTTTAAAGGAAGCCGTGGCATTGTCTTCCTGGCAGGCAGGTTTGGCGTTGATTTGGTGTTCTGTGGACGTTGCAGCCAGCGGTTCTTTTCCCTCCGGGCCTGGTGATGAGTCGGGAACCTTCAGCTCTAAGAGGCCATTGGTCGGATCCGGAACCTCGTGGACTTGTACCTGCGGTTTAGGAAAGTAGCCTGTTCGGACGCTAGCTGCTAAATGTTGCCTGTTATTTTGTCAGGGATTTGGTTGGGGCTCTTGAAAATGGCATCAACATGTGCCCACTCTAGTTCAGTTCTTCTGCCAGCAGTTGATGGGCATGCGTGGCCTTTCCCCCAGATCCGCCGTCCGACAAGACAGATCGCAGCCCTGGTTTCCGGAAATGACCTTCATTCCATGGGGTGCCATGTGCCACCAGGAGTTTTTCATTCCAAGTCTTTGAACTTCACAACACTGAAACTGTCTTTTCATAATTCCCAACATTCCATAAATAGTTGTCAAGGACAAAGAAAAAGAATGTGGATCTTGATTCTTTCCATGTAAATAATTTTGTACACCTGACTTCCTGCTTTCATATGAAGGAAAGAAACGAGCTCCCTTGTGTAACTCCAGAATTACAAGACTGTGCACGTATAAGGGGTTGACTCTATTTTGTAAAACTAATGCATTTGTATTTCTGTGCTGTTCTAAAGTTTACCTTTTTACTTATATTAAAGATATAGAAACTATATATTTAAATCATGTAAATGGGACACAATTTAGGGTTTTTTCCAATCTTTTCATCAGCTTCTCACTCACACACGCAGTATGCTGCTCAAATTTTGTGTGTGTGTGTGTGTGTGCAATATAAACATTTGAACATTTCAGTCAGGTACTGAGCTGGAAAAGGTAATTGAAGTTTTTAGAAAGCTTCTGTGCTTAGGAAATACATTGTTTTCTTGAAACATTAATAATTTATAGCTGGAAAAGTAGGATCAAGTCTTAGTGGTTTCAGAGCACTTGGTCATTGGTTCCTAAATATAGGAAGCATTTGATGAGCAGGTTGGTGAAGGCATTCAGAGGTACAAAGATGGTGTAAGGAGGAGATTCCAGGCTTTTCCACGAAACCCTGTCTGGGGACGTTTAGCTGAGAACCTTAGAAAGTTTTCTAAGGGAGTTTAGCTGCGGCACGTGTTTGATCTAAAAGGTAGTCTCTCTTCACTCCAGTAAGTTTTATCATTTGTACCAGTTCTTTGTTCCTGTCGTCATTTGTTTAAATAGAATGTTAAAATTATAAAGCGCGTCTAATCATACTGAATTGTGAAACTCCTACTGTATCTTTATTTTAAAGAAAAATGAGAATAAAATTATCCTGTTTGTCCTGCAAGGTCGTCCTCGACCCGTCTTTCGAGAGCGTGCCCTTCGTGTTGTCAGGGGTGTCTGGCCTGCTGCCCTGTCCGACAGTAGCACCAGCCTCCTAGGCAAGTAGAAGGCAGACCGACCACGTTTCCACATCGCTCCTGCTGGTGCCTCTGGGATTCAGCTGCGGTCCCTGCAGGGACAGCTCCCTCCTTTCTGTGCAATGCGGAGTGCAGGGGGCTGCTTGTGCGATCCCACCTGGAAACACGCTCCCTGGCAGAAGCCCCGGGGGTGGGACCCCGTGGAGCAGCCCTAGGCTCCTGAGCCTTGCAGCCCGACACGGCCTTGGCAGCCAGCACGCTCCGTGTACTGTGCTCTTCTGCAGAACAGGAGCTCGGGAGCTGCTTCCCAGAAGCAGACAGACCTCCGTCCCCTGGGGAGTGTGCTTCCTTGAGTCCAGGGTGAAGTTCTCCGACATGGACAGTTAACGGCCGGGAGCCGAGGTGATGAAGGGGCAGAAGAGCTCGACCCTGTGGGCACCCCCTTTCCAGAGGACTGATATTTATTAGTCACTCACTTACCTCTGCTTACTCGGTAACTTGTGTCAGTGCCCCCCGTCTCTGTCTGTCGTGTCCGTCGTTCCCAGTGTACTGTGCCTGACCTTCACTGGTCTCCCTGCTTGCCACCCATCCTCCCCGCTACACCCACATTCATCTCCCTGAAACACGAGGCTATTTTTAATTGTAGCTTCACAGTAGCCCTCAGAGTCCACAGTCGTCTGCAGGACACGACCCAGATTCCTAAATCAGGCACTCGGGTTTGCCAAAAAGCAGCCATGTCTGGTCAGTGTCTGCGGGTGCTTGGCCTCTGCAAGGCCCCGGCCACCTGAAACCTGTGTGGTGACTCTGCCTTCCCAGAACCTCTGGTTCTTGGACAAGCATTTTAAAAAATATATTTATTGATTTTTAGAGAGACAAACACTGAGTGGCTGCCTCCAGCATGCCCGCTACCAGGGATCAAGCCCACAACCCAGACATGTGCTCTGGCCCGGAATTGAACCGGCGAACTTTCCGTGCACGGGAGGACGCCCAGCCGACCGAGCCACACCAGCCAGGGCCAGACAAGCATTGTTGAGAACCCGTAACAGACACTAATCACGACCCAGCTCCAGCCTCTCAGGAAGGGCTCCCCCAGGGCTGCTTTGAGTCCTTCCTAAAGCACTTGCGCTAGGCATAGACTGAGCGAAGCATACGTAGGTGCTGCCCAGTCGGGGAGATCTGCACTTAATTAAAAAAATGGGGGTGGGCAACTTAGGGGTGAAAAACACATACAGAAAAGAGCAAGAAACGAGCATTGAAGATAATGCCAAGTACCCATTCCTGCAACCACGACCCAGGTAAGATGGCATGTTGCCAGCACCTCAGGTTCCTGTGTCTCTCCCGGGTCCTAACTCTTCCTGCTCCAGAAGTATCTGGACTCTGACTTTTGAAATAATCATTTATTTATAATTTTACTTCTCCCGCTTATGTTTGTAGTCTAAACAGCACAGTTGATTTTATCTCTGTTTTTGACTTTGTATAAATGGAATCACGCCCAGCCGGTGCGGCTCAGTGGTTGAGCATCGATTCGTGCACCAAGAGGTCACTGATTCGATTCCCGGTCAGGACACATGCCCGGGTTGTGGGCCAAATCCCCAGTGAGGGGCATGCAGGAAGAGGCCAATTGATGTTCTCTCTCATTGATGTTTCTATCTTTCCTCCTCTCTTCCTCAAAAAAAAATAAAGAAAAAAAAATTTAAAAATAAAGAAATAAATAAATGGAATCATACCATTTGTATGGTCTTCTCTGGTTCATTTTGGTTTCTAGGCGACCCTTTTCTTCCATTGTGCGTGCTGCATCGTTTATCCAGTCTGCTGTCGGTGGCCGTGCTGGAGGGCGTATCCCAGGCACCTGTGTACGTTTCTCTGGGGTATACACCTGGGAATATGTACATCTCAGACCTTTCAGTTAACGGCAACTTGTTTTTCGAAGTGGTGCTACCATCGTACCCTCCCACCAGCATGGCATCAGGATGGCATCGCTCCACATGCCTCCAACACT